TTCTGAGTGGTGTGATCTTTGAGGACAGGGACTGTCTTTTTGATATTATCATAGTCCTAGAACATGGAAAAATAGTGAGCATTCAAAAATATCATATGCATGAGTGAAAGGAAGGGAGAGAGGGAGGAAGCAAGGGAGGCTGGTTGATTAGAGCCTGAAAAACCCATGTGTCAAAGGAGGTATTTTAGCAGAGTCTCAAGGCAAGGTCCAACTCCTTTAGGCAGGAAAGCATTCTCTAGGAAAGGGGAAAGGACCCCAGACAGAGACTGCACTCTTGCTCCTTTATGGCCACGCGGGCTGTGCATGGCACTACTCTAGAAAGGGCTGCTCACATGGACTCCAGCAACCCTGAAGAGGAGAAAGACTGGAAAGGTTTCTGCAGAGTGCTGGATGTCTTCTAAATATATTTACAATTCACCAATTATGACTAACTTAGCTGACTAAATTTTTCTTCAGGAAGATAATTTGGGTTGACACAGTGGTAGAAATAGGAGGCAGTTCTAGAAATAACAGATCTGGGTTAAAATCTTGATGCCTCCACTTACTTAACTGTATAAACTAAACGTAAGCTCAGTGAGGGCAAATATCATGTCTATCTTGTTTATCAACTTATCTCAGTGCCTAGCACATAGAATGTATACTTAGTAAATATTGGATGATAAATTTTAATCACATGTTATGCACTTAATGGTTTCTTCATCTGTAAAATGAGGATACTGACATTCGTTTCACATGGTACAATGAGTAGGAAACAAGAAAATCTGCATAAAGTACATGGCACAGTGCCAGGCTCATGGTAGACGCTTCATGAGTGGGAGCTACTATTAGAAATAATAGTCCAGTAACGTATGGGGCAGTCCTACACAAAATACCTCAACTGCCCAATCGTGCTCCCATTGAGAAGCACAGCGTAGCCTAAAGAGACAATGAAGTCAACTAGTTTCCTGACATCATTCACTTTAAAACAATATATATATATAACTCTTTGGAAAATATTTGCAAATGATGTTACATTTATCCTGATTTTGTTAACTCACGTGCATGTCAATAACAAAGAAATATCAGGCCCTATCACATTATAAAATAAATTCAATTAAAATGTCATAATATTTTATGATTGCATGGGAGGAAAAGTTCTAGTGAAATAGTAAATCAAACAGAAAATGTGGCACTAAAAGCAGAAAATGTGTCTGCAAGAAACGTTAAGAAGAAAGCATTTGTATCTTGTCAAAGAATCAACCAGGACTTTTCTTAAGAGAATCAAAGAAAGCAATTGTGAAGAACTCCTATTTTCATCCTTTCATTTATTGTCTCCTTCTGGCCCCGTATCCCACATAGTAAACATCTGTGTCCTGTTAAGACTTCAGCTCCCCCGCTGAGCAACAGTCCTGCTGGTCTTGAGCCCTGAGGTTTGCTTATTCCTTTGCTAAGAGGAAGACAGAGGAACAATGATTTAAAAAGCAAGGCATTGAAGATGAAGGATAAACAGTCAAAAGCGTAAGGACAAAGATCTAGAAGAACCTTCCAAGCAGTGGGCTTCTGTACTCCAAGGAGCATGCAAGAGACAGAAGGAGACTAGATTAGAACCTCCTAACCACACATAAATTGACATCGAGATTCTCACTTGAATCCTGTGTCAGGCAATATGTGAGGTATTTCACAGTTTCAACGGGATGGAGACAGTGGTATCCTCACTCTTTCCTCTATTTTGACATATTTCAGTTTATCCGCATCCAGAATGGGTTTATAGGGTATAGAATCTGGTTTTAACTAAACCAAACACCAAAGTAGACAACTATCTTTCAAAGATTACTACAATCTTCAATCACTGGATTGAAGATAATACCAATCGTGCAAGCACAAGCAAACAACTGAAAAAGAGGTAAACCAACGCTTGTTTCATAGCACGAGCTCTTCCAAAACCACATTACAAGATAAATCATGATCGAATGTCTAAGTCAGTGCTGTCCAAAAGACTGTGATGATGGAAATATTCTAGATTGGTGCTCTCCAACATGGTAGCCACTAGCCACATATGGCTACTGAAAACTTGAAATGCAGCTAGTGCAGCTAAGAAACTAAATTGTTATTTTTTAAATATACTTTAAATTTAAATAGCCACTGTGACTAGTGGCTACTACATTGGATAGTGCAAATCTAAGAGACAACAAATAGAGCCAAGCTCTTAGGTTTGAAGTCAAATGCTATCACTTACAAGCTGCATGACCTTTGGTTTAATTTTTCTATGCCTTTTTCTTCACCATAATCATAATGCCTACCTCATATGGTTGTTGTTGGAATTAAATTTTTGTTGTTGACTCCAATTCCTAGCGACCCTGGGTATAGCAGAGGGGAACCCTATCTGTAGGTCTTTTTACAGCATCTTTTCATCTTGTGGCGCTATATGAGACAAAGCTCTGCTGCTATTCAGAGGGTTTTCATTGTACTAATCCTACAGGACCACCGTCATATATGCGGTCTATTCTTGACCAAAAAGTCATTACACAGCACATGACTGTATTATGGTAACATAAGATGTTAACAATAGGGAAAACTGGGTGAAGAATATATGGAAATACTTGTTAAGGAAAATTTACTAATAGAATTGTAATCCTTCTAAGCTATGAGTACATTTTGTTCATTTCTAAAACATACATTATTTCTTGTAGAGATACACTTGTAGATATATACTTCTTGGAAAGATATAAAAATTTATTTTCCTCACCTTGTGATTTTAGAAGAAAACGTATGCACTTAATGGAGGAATATTTGGAGAGAGGTCAAAGGGCGCAAGGACAAAGACCAAAGGTTGAAAATTGTAAAACTTATGAGGAGAAACAGAAAAGAATTTCTTCTAAAGAAAACACTGAGGAAGTGGCCTTAAAAAAGTTTTGGGGGGTAAATCTCCAATTAGATGATATAAGAAAATGAGGATTTTATAACTGGATACAATTGAGAAACTGCATATTCCCTCTTTGAGTTTCACTGTGACCATCAGTATCACAAGTTCCTGCAGTAAAGAAACCTGTTTAATACAATCTTTTCCCAAACTTACTTCACCATGGAAGCTTTTCCTGTTACATCTGTGAAAACCTAAGGAAGAGTTCTTGTAATTTTGGAAAATTCTATTGCATATGCATAACTTTCACTGTTATGCTGGTATTTACACTATTTGCACTATTTTAGCAATCTTCTCCCACCCTCACAATCTTGGTCCTCGGGCCTTCAAACGCAGACCAGAATCTATGCAATTGGCACTCTTGCTCACAGACCTTTGGACTATGCACCGGCTTTCCTGGGTCTCTGACTTACAGACAGCAGACTGTAGAACTTCTCAGCCTCCATAATCATGTGAGTCAATACTTTATAACAAACCTATATAGATACAAGTTCAGTTTCTCTGGAGAACCCTGATTAATGCAGTAGCTAAGCACAAAATTAGCATAAAGGAATAGCAACCTTATAATGAAAAGACACTGCTTATGGAATACCAAACAATAAAATAAACTACCTTGTAATCATGTTAAAAAGAAGTACTATATTAACAGATACTAACATTGACATCTCTAATAGGAATCATCAACATCAAGATATCAATTCTAAGTTAACTCTTGATTTAACACATAACCAACAGCAAAAATAACTTCAGGAGGAGGCTAGAGAGACTGATTCTAATATTTATACTGAAAAATAAACCCACAAAAAGGCAAAATTATAGGGATGGAGAATCGATCAGTGGCAGCCAGAGGTTGGGTGGAGGGAGTCTACTACAAAGGGGTAGCCTGAGGGAATTTTGGAGTGATGGAACTGTGGTAGTTGGATACACAAGTCCAAGCATCTGTCAAAACCCATGGAAATGTACACCACAAAGAGTGAATTTTACTGTGTATAAACTAATAAGCCAACCACAAAAAGAAAATAACCCACAAGAATAGCCAAAAAATTCTGAAAAATAAAAGTAATGAGGGGAGATTGGCTCTACCATAGCAAAACACACCATAGTGCTACAATCATCTAAACAGTGTGGTGCTGGCAGATGAGTACACAGATCCACGAAACCAGCTATTAAGACCAGAAATGGATGCAAACATATAAGGGAATTTAGTATATAACACTTGAAATCTAGAAAGAAAGATGGAGTTTTAAATACATGGTGTTGGGTAGCATTGCGGAGGGGGAACAAAAAAGTTGATCCCTACCTCCTGCCTTCTATCAAAGTAAGTTCGAGATGGATACTAGTTGGATAAAGGATATAAACCTGAAACATAAAACTTTAAAACCAATAGGAAAAATGGGAGCGTTCTTCTATAATCACGGAATAAGGAAGACCTTTGTTGTTATGACACAAAATGTGGTAGTCATAAAAGATAAACTATACAAAAATAAAGAATAACTTCTGCAGGTATCATTTGCTAAAAAAAAGTATATATTGTATTGATATATGTTTAGAGCAGCTCTGGAAAGACACATGCAATAGTGGCAACAGTGACTGTCTCTGCAGAAGGAAACTGAGGAGACTTAGGTAGCTATTATTTGTCACTGTCTCCCTACAACACTAATAGTTATTTTGAAATACATCCTTACGATTTTCAAAGTTGGGAATTCTATATATGGTATCACTGTATACTCCAATATAAAATATGCCATTTTCCAAAAATAATTTCAGTAGGCCAACACTCAATTAATTGGAATCTTTAAATAATTGCCGTTTAGGCCCTTCAACATCTAATCACAGTCCCTTTGCACTTACACTGCAGGCCAACTGCACTGCTTTGTAATTCCTGAACATGCTCTTGCTTTCCTCCATGCTTTTGAAAATACTGTTTCCTCTGCTGAGACAACTTTACCCCACCTCTGCCTACTGAAATCATTCTTCCTAACAGGGCAGCTCAAATCCCACGAATCCACAAAGCTCTCTGCAAACTTTGTAGATAGGTATATTACATACCCACACAGAGAGAAAGGTAACGAAAGATTTAAAAAGATACAAAGGCAGAATGATCAATTTAAAAAGTTATTTATTAAACAATTTAAATGCAACTAAAAGTATATTTAAAAGTCCAACATTATGGGATCCCTTTGAAATACCTATTCTGGGAAGAAGTATTTTGTCTAACTTTCTAATGATAAGGGAAATGATAAAAATAGAACAGGGATGAAAAACATTTTTAAACAAACAATAAAGCACACAGTAAATTTAGAAATAAAAATAAAAACACACAAACATACAAACTATTGAAGTATGAAACAAAATGTTTCATATGTTTTTAAATGCTTCTGGAATACTCACATGAGGGCTGAACTGTCTATGTCCAAGTTAATAAACAGTATATAAACACCTTTTTAAGGTACCATACTTTGAGATATATAGAAATATTTTAGAATATGTGTTGGGTGTACAAACTGTCCACATTTAGCAAACATATTCTACATACGATCATATTCACTCATACTTAATGAAAAAAGAATTTATAATTTAAATATCTTGATTTGAAAATTGTGGATTTGATAATCCTATTAAATTACATTATAATTGCCAATTGTGCCATCAAAAAAGTTATTCAATTTTGTTTTTAAAGAGTTGCTTCTGAAAATGCCAGTATTTTAGGGCCAAAGAAAATATCGTGTATTCTTTGTTCATTAATTCTGATGCTTAGTTTCTATGATTAACACAAAAAAACCACGCAAGAGAGAGCATTCTATGGAAAAGCCTGTCTGATTTTTCAGTAGTTCCAAATGGTGTTATACAATATTTCATTGGAAATAGTGGTTTCACCACATATTTGGCAGTAGCTTCTATTTAAAACACAACTTTGCCCCATAACATCCATCAAAGGCTTTAGAACACAATTGACTTTGGCAGAACACATGGAGACCAAGATGTGAATGGGGACTGTCAGTGGATATGAGGACATTTACGAAAAGAGGTTTGGGGGTGTGCGTGTGTGTGTGTGTGCGTGTGTGTGATGAAATGGTTTATTCAGAACTATAAAACACATTTTCCTAATTAGATCTCAATTGTATAAACAATATAAACCAAATGTTTAGAACTTAAATGGATTCTCAATTTTTATGAGAGGCAACTCTTTTTTTTTTTTTTCCTTTTATCATTCTTTACAGAGGACAAAGCTTTAGTCATATATATTCTTCTGGACACTGAGGGGAAGGTCTCCTTTGTCTCCTTCTCAGTCTGAAAGAGAAGGAGAACGAATAGACCTGCCACTGGCTGGGCTGGAGAAAGTGAAAGGCTCCTTGTCCTTTTCTTTACTATCATGCTTATGCTTGTGCTTATGCTTATGTTTGTGCTTCTTCTTCTTTTTCTTGTGCTCGTGGTGATGGTGGTGATGGTGGTCACTGTGTTTGGAGGACGTAGATTCCTTAGTAAACACTGAGAGCGGAGCTGTTGAAACTGGATGCATACTCATCTCCAAAGGTGATTGTTCTTTACCTTCAAGATTAAAAACACCCAAATGAATTCCTGTTGATAACAAGGAAAGTGAAATGAAAGTAAGAGAGAGCTGACGACAGTATAGGAAAGAAAGATTTCTAAGTGTTTACCTCTTCCATGGGAATAATTAGGAATGGGAGAAGTATCTAAATAAGACATCCAATTAGTTATACACAGATAAGTTTTCAACACTGTGGCCAGGAAATTGAATATTTCAATTCCTTATAGTCTATAAAATTGTGACATATACCAGTGTGTTACCAAGCCATCTTCTAAAAACCAATTATTTTAAAGTATTAGGAGAGACAGTAACAATTACATATGTGTACATTATTGGTTAAGACCCACACTGGCCAATAAAACAGCTCCTTCAACTACACCTTTGCTCTGAAGTATTAGGGGGGGAAATGGCAGTACTTTATTTGTGCCATCTGGAGAACCATTTGTACACAAACATGCTACACTAGTTACTGATAATGTATCTCAGCAAAAACCCAAACTTCTGTAATTCTTTAAGACAATTTCTGGGAACAGATAGGCAAAGGTGAACTCTTGAAATAGATTCAGTATACAGAGCTTAAGAAATCCAGAAAAGGTGGGGAGTCTATAAAGGGAATGTCTTTACTTAAAGACAAAGCAGTATCATTAAGAAAAAAGCAGCTGAAAATTAGGAGACCTGTGCTCTAGCAGAGGTTCTGCTGTTAACCTTCAGCATTATTTTCTCTCTTTATCTCATCTAAAACAGGGATGAATGTCTTTGAAGGTTCTTTCCATTTCTAACATTCTATCAGTCTAGGAATTTATAAGAGTAGTTCTCAGACTCTAGTGTACAAGAATTTCTTGCTTCCTCCAGACCCTATAATCTTCGAGCCATACCCTGAGAAACAATTCTCTCAGGATTGCTGTAGGTTAACGGTACTGCTTTACATGCAGCCAACAAGAAAAAAGCGTAAGAATCATCTCAGATCCCCTCTCTTCTACATCTAGTTGGTTATCAAATCTTATTAATTCTCACTTACAAGTATCTCATAAATCCACCTCCCTATCCTGTCTGTGACTGTGTTACTTCAGACCACCTCACCTCATCTGGATTACAGTACTAGTCTCCTGTTAACGGGTTTCTTTGCCTGAAGCGTCCTATCCTCGAATCCACACTTTACATGGCTGCATAGCAGTGCTTCTCAACCAGGGATGATTTTTGCCCCCAGGGGTTATTTGCAATGTCTAGAGACATTTTTGTTGTCACAACTGGGGTGGGCTAGGGGGAAGAAGTGTGAATGGTATCCTGTGGGTAGAGACTAGGGATGCTGTCAAACATCATATAACAAACAGGACAGCCCCCCTAACAGCAAGGAATTCTCACGCTCAAAATCTCAATAGTGTTCAAGGTGGGAGACCCTGCTGCACAATGATCTTCCAAAAACAAAACTGATCATAATTATCTGCTTAAAAACTCAGTTAGTTCTACCAACAAAATAAAAGCCAAACTCCTTAGACTTCAGTAGTTTGTGAAAATATATGTATTTTCAATCCAAACTAGCTAAAAGATCAGGCTTTTCACTAAAATGAACTTCAATGCAGTGGTTTCTTTTCTTTTTTAAAAAGTAAATTCTCAGCACTAATTTTGATCCAAACCATGGGTTTTACCAAAACGGGGATCACCAAGGAAGTTTTCTAAAAATCACTGTTAGCACTAATTTTAATGACAGCTTACAATGTGTCCTGAACTTACCTTTCCAGCGATAATCTTCCCGTATTCCTTTCTATACACTCTAGGCTAGCCATTTTGTAACTGTATTTATAAATGCTTTCCCCATGCTTGGAATGCCCTTCCCTTATTTCTTGTCTGACTCACACATTTTTTTAACAAGTAGCAGGAACTACACGGGAATTGGGAAAAACAGTGATGAACTGGACAGATCTCAGTCCTCCTGGAGCTTACAAACTAGTAAAGAAGAAAGAAATTGAATAAGCACATCCGAGTAATAAAAAGACAAAACAGAGTGTGAAACCAGAGCACAACAGGAGACTTAAATTAGTTGAGGGGGGGATCAGAGGCAACCTTTTCCGAGGAAGTACTGTTTAAATTGGAAGCTAAAGGAGGGGAAAGGGGAAGAAAAAACATTTTAGGGTCTTCAATAATTTAAAACTCAGCTCGAATGTCATTTCTTTGGGAAGTTTTCCCCAAACTGCCCCAAAGAATTGTTCTTTCATGTTCCCACAACGTAATACAGATGAGGAAATTAAGGCACAGAGAAATTAAGTGTCTGGCCCAAGGTGGTACTGGCAGATCGGAGCTATAAAACCAAAAGGCCTGACTCCAAAGTCTGTGCTCTTAACCACCCTGCCCATCTGCAGGTAGCATGGTGCACACTGCAGCACTTCTCTAGATCCTTGGGTCTTTTTCATTAGACTCATAGCTTTTTAAGGACAGAGAGTTTGTCCTTTTCACCTTTGTATCCCAGTGTATCACACAGTCGTAGCATCCCCTACACTCCCACTCCCCACCCCTGCCAAAGCTTGCTAAATAAATGAATTGATTAATATAACAGAATTATATTAACTGCTGTGTTTCTTTTTAAATAGGATGTCAGGTGAACTCAGTTCAAGTAAATGCAATCTGAAGATCACCGATTTTAAAGGGAGATGGATAAAGCACAGAAATATTATAGATCATTCATTCAACTAGTATTGATTGACTACTGTACTTCCTTTCTGTCAGGCACTGTTCCAATATTTAGAACAAGTGAACAAGTCGGACAAAGTCCCTGTTCTCACAGATTATTCACATTTTACTGCTACAAAATTATACTTCTTATATTCATGATTTTTTGGTAAAGCTAACACTAATAATGCAAAAGCTAAATAGATTATACATAGAAGTTTGGGGGTCTGTATCTTTTACAATAACTGGTACACAGATATTTTTCAGAAAAAGAAAAATTTTGAGAGATAACTGATTTATAGTATCAGTCAAATATGCCACTATATGATTTTAATTTAGATTTTAAATGAATTACATGAATATGTTCTTTATTTTATAAATATGGGAAAACAGGTCCATACCTAACAGAATCCATAGCCAAGTGATGGGGAGAAGTAATAAAAGACTTTAAAGCTTCACAAACAAATTCCTTGAACTCCTATCTCATTATTTAGTCAGTCTACATCAATAGACTGAGGCTTTCCAATAGGCTGTCTGCACTACTGGGAGTCTGAGGTCCTCTTCTGCACTGACAGAAGTTTCACCATCTAATCCTGAACATCTGCCAAGCTACTTGGATTGCAGAAAAGCCAATAATTATATTGGAAACTGTACCTCCCAGCAGAGGCAACTGCCAAATGGACAACTGAGAGTACTTGGGTGTACTCTTTTCCAAAGAATACTTATAACCACTAAAAAAGTAAATTCAATCCCTTTCCTAGTGGCCTTATATTTTGCATTAAAGAATACTGATTATAAATCTTACATTTCTCTTGATTTGTATGAATTCTGTTAAGAAGACAATGGATTAGCTAGATCCAAGGATAAAGGTGTTAAGAACCAGGGTCCTAGGACAAATGGCTGATTCCAGTTCTGGGTAGAATATTTACAAGATGAGCATGAAAAATCTGGTACAATAGCAAGGAAGATAAAGTTTTCTCAACAGACTCAAGAGTCAACTTAAGAGGTTCTCACTGTCCAAAGATGGAACAATTTGAATATTGATAAAGATAACTGTAATAGACTGGAACTGATCACCATTGGAGGGTGCTAGTTAGCCAGCTCATTATTTTAAAAATTATTAAACATAGAGAATCAAGCCTTTATCTTTCCTTTCCTATATGATCTATACCACTGGATAACAGTAGATGAGGGGGAATTAGCTTTATAGAAATAATCCAACTTATAAATAAAAATGGAAAGATGAATTAGAATATCACCATCTTGCAATCCTTAATGAATTAATGGATCTAGGCCTTGAACATCTTAGAGGCTAACCTCATAAAAAAGAGTCAACCAGACATTGTATGCTTCCAGATGGAAGAACACATCACCATCTATAAATCTGAATCCAATTAAGCTTCTAGATACAATTACAAATTTCCAGGAAATGCAGAGGACTCTTAACATGTTAATTACACCACAGGTATACAATTAGCAAAATACAGACTTGAAAACTACAGATCAAAACCCTAGTTTAACAAATACATCGTAAAAGGGAAAAAAAGAGAAAAAAAAGATGGACTGTAAATTTTAAATTTAAAAAGATGTAAAGGATATATCAGCCAACTGCAATCTGTAGACCTTATGTAGAGACTGATTCAAATAAATAAAAATAAAAATAATGGCATATGTGAGTCAACTGGAATTTAAACAGTGACTGGATATTTATGATAGGAAAAAACTTAAATCCCTCGTATCATTTTATTCATAAATAATTTAGTATGTATCTCCAAAAGGTACAGGCTTTAAAAAGTCATAGCCACAGTAATATTCTTATATTTTAAAAAACTGTTTCAAAATAATTCAGAAGAGTTGAAATAATAATGGGTAAAGGTACAGATTAAACAAGACTGACCATAAGCTGATCATTGTTGAAGCTGAGTAATGGATACATGGAGGTTCATTACACTAGTCTACCTGCTTCCCAGTTTTACAACAGTGTTTTTTAAAAAGGAGAAGTTAAGGCAATTTGGCACTATCCGTGAAAATGTTAAATGCCCATATTCTTTGATTTAGAAAGTTCATTTCTAGAAATTTACCCCATAAATGTGCTCATGCATATGTGCAAAGACATATGTACAAAAATATTCATTAGAATATTATTTGTAACAACAGCACATCTGATAAAACATAATTTTACTCTATCACCACCAACCTTCAGCTCTTAAGTTTTCTTACACAATATGCATTTTTTGCTTGCTTAGTCTTCTACCTTTCCTGAATAATTTTTACTAGGTCTAATGCAAGGTGATAAGAAAGTACAATTTCCTTTCCATGTGGAATAGTATTAATAGTCAGATGTGGGACACACGAGTTTACTTTCACACTGGCATAATAAAGTCATCTATAGAATCTCTAATGAGAAAAATGTACATATTACCATCGCCCTGAAACAAACATTTACACACACAATTTCACATACTATTTCAGGGGTTTACAAGATAACTGGGAACTTGAGGTTCACCCAAGGTTAGGCACCACTCAGTTTTTTAAGCTAAAGCCCCTTTAGTAACATAAAATATATGTCTCTATTGTAGATAGCAGATATATCAGAAAAAAAAGATACATATAATTCACAATATTATGATTTCCCTATTTCATGTTATATAGAAAGAATAAAACAAGGTTCAGTTTTGTCATTCTACCTAACATAAAATCTTTCCTAGAGACCTAGTACAATGTATCATGGTTAATGATTAGTTGCAGTCAATTTAACAAATATAACATAAACAGAAAGAGGTACTTAATATAAGCCTAATGTGGAAGCTTTTCAGCCCTCGGATAAAAGTGCTGATAACAGTGAACAACCTGCTAGTTCTACTAAATTCATTTGCATTAGGTGTATGTTTAAATTTAACACAAAATCTGGAGTTTCTATTAGGAAAAGTGTCAAGTCTGTTCTTTGGATTCTTTAGATGACTGTTAAAAATAAAATGTTGAATTATTATAATTTAAGAAAAAAAATCTAAGTCTGTTTTTCATATTAGAGTTTCAAAAGAAAGAACTCTAGGGCTCTCAAGTTTTATTTTTTAAAGGATTTCATGCACCAGAAAAGGGCTTTTCTGACTTATGCAAGGAGGCATTACATAACACAGCCCTAGTAGGCAACTGCAGGAACTTTCCTTCTTTTCTTCCCCACAAAAACCACTAGGGATTTCCCTCTGCTCCTGTTCCTGTCACTCCTCCTTTCTCTTACCACTGCAACCTCTGCAGCAACTTGGGAGACAGACCAGCTACCTTGGCCTTCAGAGTGGAGGAGAGGGAGCTGCAGTGGTGGCAGAGGAGAAGACACAGTGTGCTCAATCCATCACCATGGGAACCATACTGCCCTTTCTCCCTATTCCCTTCCTTATCTCAGGAAAGGGGACAGAAACAGTAACGTAGTGAAGGAAAATACCCCTGCCACTTATTCTTTCTTACCCCAAATGGCTTAACATACCATATAAATATCATCCCCACCCTAAAACATTCTTCTATCATATGCAAGGAAAAAGAAAATTGGGGGCAAAAAAGTTAAAAAGTAAACCATGACCTGTCCTCTACTTAACAGTTTCCATTCCCTTCTTTATCTTACCTAAACCCCCATTACTTTTCCATCCCTCCCAGATGAGTCTGCAACACATTCCAGTTCTCAAGTATCATCTGGCTTGCTGGCTCTAAGGGAGACATCTCAGACTTCATCTCAGCTCATGAATAAAGGAAGTAGGAGTCCCAAACTCACAAGCCTTGGACCTAAGAAGACAGCATAAACAAGTAAGCAGACTACCAGGTGCAACACCAGAGAAACCAAAGAAATGGAAAGCACATCCCTGTCTAAGAGGGCCTCTCAGTTAACTCCATTTCAGTAGGAGTTGGAAATTCAGATTTTTATGTGTAATCTCTTCATTTTTAGTCAACTACTTCAAAAATTTTTGTAAACCTTTTAGAGACCAAATAAAAGATCCCTCAGTTGGATGAGCTGAATAAGGCCCCAAAAACCCATCTGTAAATTTTAACCTAGAATCCCTGGAGACTTAAGAGAGGTCACAGCTTCCCTTACCACTATTTACGACTTTGCTCCTGAACTGCCAACTCTGAACCCCAGGCCAAGAGAGCCACCACAGTAGAAGACCCCCAGCTTCTGCTGGGAGGCAGGAAGAGAAGAAGTTCCCGTTTTACTGCCAGCTTTACTTGAGTTAGGTTAAAGTTGTGCTTCTGACATTCCAAAAGATGGAGCTCTAAGTGCCTCTTCTCTCAGAAACGGGAAAACTGCATTTCGAATTCCAAAATAAATACATGTATAAATAAACTTTCAGAACACTACCATTTGAAAAATGAAGGTTTTCTAAATTTTAAAATCACTGTTGAATTTTAAGACTTGCTCAGTAGGCACAGGGTCCTGAATAGCATAAACATATTGAAAAGAAATTACAAGGGCACATTAAAGAATATATTCAAAATTAAGTTTTACAGATCAGTCCATATAATATGCTAGTATATTACCAGCTGATTTTACATCATGACATAAAAGGGTCCTACACTGATAACAATCAAAGCTAAAATTGTAAGGCTTTTCTATTCCCATCAGAGCCCTACATCCTCTCCCCAGTCTTCCCATACGATGCCGTGAGAACTATAAGACTGTAGAGAGATTCCAAAAAAAGTAAAAACATATTTTTTAAAGCAATATGAAACAATGATACAAAGGTATATTGTTGGGCACAAAAAGGCATTAAGATTTGCTTCTACACAGGTTACTGTGCCATATCACTAAGAAAAACCAAACAAATATATTCAGATTCTTTTCTAGAACAGGTATTTATTTGACTGCTGGAATTCAGATAAAATGTATTGTTTTTAAAGGCATGGAAGGTGAGCAGAAGCATCACTCTCAAACTATATCAAGAGGTGTGAAACACTCTAAGCTTTGTAATGTCAAAAAATACAGAGAAGTTTTCATGTCTAGTAAAATTTTAATAAGTGTAATAATAATAAAGCAAAATTACACCAAAACCAAAACCAAGAGAACACAAAACTGGCAAGGGCCAAGAAATGTCAAAATTCACTTATCAAAGTTAAGTGCTAAACTTTCCAGCTGATTTCCCTCTGACATATGTTTTACGTGAAACTATTATAACAAATGCATACACACTACACAAAGAGATATAAGCAACCAACAGTCTGGGGTCTCAATACCAAAATACTTTGAGGTATTGCTTTTGTTTGAAGTCTCCTATTAATCACAGCTGATCTCTAAGCTCTTCAAATCAATAAACAGTTACTCTTCTGTTTATATCATAAAAACATGGTTTATATAAGCAAAATCCATCAGTTTGAATTTTAAAGCCTGACTAATGACTTTTGGAAAAACTATTCTTTAAAATGATTTTGCTCATGTACCTTGTTTTTCACTCCCTGTTCCTCCAAAACTCAAAGACTGAATCTTCATTCATCAGCATTGAATGTTTACTTTTTATTTGGATTATAATCTTCTCTTGTAAGCAACAGAACAAAGTAAGCAGAAGAAAATGCAAAATAGAAGAGGTAACAAACACATCTGAACTGAATTAACTTTCATAAACTTAAGCCCAATTAGCACAAAATAACTTAAAATACAGAACATGTTAGTTTTCCAGGTATAGCATCAAAGCTTCATGATTGACCAGGAAGGACCAATTGTACAACTTTCAGGGAGAGGAGGAGAGGAGAAATAAATGGTTGATTTTTGCATTTTATAAAAGTATAAAGGCATAGACTTATTTATTTATTTATTTATTTATTTTGAGGAAGATTGGCCCTGAGCTAACATCTGTGCCAATTTTCCTATACTTTGCATGTGAGTTGCCGCCATGGTGTGGCTGATGAATGGTGTAGGTCTGCGCCAAGGATCCGAACCCATGAACTTGGGCCACCAAAGTGGAGTGCACCAAACTTAGCTACTACACCAAGGGGCGGGCCAGAGTATAAAGGCACAGATTTGATGGTTTCTACTGAAGTTGGCATTTTTCATATTATAATATTCTTAGAAAAAGCACTGCAAGGAAAGAGCAAAATATTAATATAATGGGTATCTTTAAATGGCACAATGAGAGGTGACTTTTTTGTCTTCCCTCCTTTCCACTTTTCTGTTATTTCCAAGTTTTATATATTAGGATTAAATTACTTTTGAAATAGTAAAAAGTCTAGTTAAAAGGAGTCTTTATGTTAAGTTATATAAAGACAATGTGTTGCAAGAAAAGCAAGTTCTCAGAACTATTACTTTATTTTTTTTTTTTGAGGAAGATCAGCCCTCGGCTAACAGCCACTGCCAATCCTCCTTTTTGCTGAGGAAGATTGGCCCTGAGCTAACATCTGTGCCCAGCTTCCTCCATTTTTTATATGTGGGACACCAGCCACAGCATGGCTTGATAAGCAGTGCATAGGTCCACGCCTGGGATCTGAACCTGTGAACCCCAGGCTGCCAAAGCGGAGTATGTGAACTTAACCATTACACCACCAGGTGGGCCCCTAGAACTGTGTTTTTAATGTATTCTTTTTAAACTGATAAAGAACTTTATAGATTTGTTCCTGAATAAAATAATAGTAATTTTCACCTGTTCCTTTCCGTGCAAGTTCCATACTCCACTGGGGTTTTGTGGTGGGTGTGCCATCACAGCCTGATGAGTGCTGAGGTATTAAAGCAGATCGGGAGCTGGTGGGCCGATATTTAGAGAGCCCTAAAATGCCAAAGAGGAAAAAGAGGGATTTAGTTCTTTGCTCCCTTATAAAAGAAAAAAGCCTAACAGGTTTTTATAAGTCAACTTTAAAACTAGAAGCAGTTCAACAGTAAAATTGTAATAATGAAAAAAGCACTATTTTTAAAACTACTGAGGATTTCATTTGATTTAATTCTTCATCATGGTTCCTATATGCTTAAGCCTGAGAATAATACACACTCAAGTAAGATAGTAAGTGTGACTGGCTTGCTGAACATATAATTAGATTCCACATTCTGAGGCAGAAACCATTTCATGTTTTTAATTATTTATGTGGAACTTTGCATACAGTAAAGTCTACTGGCTCCCTCCAAAATTTGCTAATAAGTTCTACTATAATACTTACTAAAAAAATAGATCAAAATAATTCATATATTTAAAACAGGAAATGTTTTAATGGTCTAATGCGAACAGTATTGTAGTAGGTATCAGGAGATCCAAGTTCTGATTCCAAATTATCAACAAATGAGATACATAATCTGGGCAAGACATTTATCTCTTTATGTCTCAATTCCTTCATCTGTCATATGAAAAACTCCTAAGATTTGGGTCTTGCCCTGAATTGGCTCTTACTTGGGTGTGTCATCTAGAGAGAGTCATTTAATAAAAAAAATAACTTCTGCTTAAATTCACTTATCTGCAGAATGGACAGAATAAATAATTGTTAAGATCTCCTATAATTATAAAAGCCAAAGAATTTATGACTTATCAGTCTTCAAGTATATCTTAGGTTCATACCGTACCTGAAGCTGGTTCTCAAATTCTACTAACTCATCCTAGATTATGAAACAGTGAAAAATAATTTAAGTCTCATAACCAACATAAACAAAAAGCCAAACTAACAGAAAGGAGACTGAGGTGGGGTAAGAGGGACTTGGCACAAATGTAACACGTTAAACAAAAGAAAAACCTCATTCCAATGTAAAGATCACAGACATAGACAACCAGCACGGGGTATGAAAAGAACTTTCAAATAATAAAAAAAACAGAAACAGTATCCAGAAAAAAAAAGAAAAATAGTTATATTCATAATAAAAGAAATGCATTATAAAGTAAATGTCAATTATCATTTTATAGTTAATTAATAAGTATCTTTTATGACATTGATGACCATAAAACAGTACTATGACATACAAAAATGATGATAAATGATAAATGAAAAGGAATGAATCACACCTTATGTACCAATATGGATGATATTTTAGACGCAGATTGTTGAGTGAAAAGAGAAAGTCATAGTGAACATATTTTCACAAAATTCAAAAACCAAGTGCAACTAAACATATAGATCATCTATCTATGTGATACACTATAAAGAAGAGCAACAGAATGATTACGGAAAAGAAAATTCAAGACAGTATTCACTCGTAGTGCAAAGGCAGGTGAACAGAATCAGGAGAGAAGCACAGAGGGAATGGCTGTGGCCTGCAGTGTAATATACATGTTAAGGTGGGTTTCAGGTTTACATATATTTGTTTTATTATTATATTTCACAACTTAGAATGCAAGTTACATCAAAGCTTTTTTCCTGAAAATTTAAAAATGCTGAAAACATAAGCTAGGTGTAATCTCTTCAAAAAGCATTAGAGAAGAGTATGTATCAACAGCTATGAAAATCATCTGAAGATAAGTATCTCATAATATAGCTAAAATCAACTTTTTTGCCAAGAATATATTTTTGAGAATTTATCTTAAGAATATAATTTGACAAAAAAGAAACAAAAGCTTTTGTATGAACACACTCAGTGCAGAATTTCTTGTAACAAATAAAAATCAGAAACAATCTAAATGACTATCCACAGGGAAATAGGGTAAATTATAGTGTATGAACTCAACACTGTCTCAGGTAATATTTCCAAAAGAAAAGATTATAATGTTTGAGAGATGCAAGCAAAAAACCTGTGACATAATACTACATGGAAGAGGTAGGCAAAAAGAGAAAGTAGTTGTGTTATGGGCAGCATTAACTTTATAGCTAAAAAGTTTTTAAAATAATTATGGTTATACTACTAAAAAGAAACCAGATCTAGTATTTTATTCTGAGGTTAAGCCTACTACAAATGAAAGGAAGGGAAGAAAAGAAAAGAAAGAAAAACAGTAAAGCAACTGGAAGAAATGTGACGAATGGAATTTTTAAAAAACAAATCCAGAAGTAAGCCAAATATTTTAAAAGGACCAAAATAAAATAGAAAGTTGAAAGAAACACTTTTATTTTTTTATTTATTCCTTTGTTGATGTGTGTTATAATCTGATACAATCTAATATTTTATACTGGCTACTTTTAAACTTTATAGTTGTTCACCTGAAAATAAAGCAACACACCTTAGAATACTGATATCCTGTGAACTTTCTCCATCACCCCAGTGATTGCCGTACACTAATCTTACCTGGAGTTGATGGCCTTTCAAGCATGTTCAAATGATGGGAAATGAATGCCTGGCTATCATGAACAGTATCCATATCAATCTCTTCCTCATCTTGAGAATTTGAAAACTACAATACACACACACACACAAAACAAAGGAGAAAAAGAGCCATTACATTACTTTAAGTTTGGATCTTAGCTCTTAGGAAAGGTAGCAGAGAGGCCACAGGACACCCCCAAATAATCTTAAAAGGAAAAGTAGTCTCTTTTTCTCAAAAAGTATTAAGAGAAAGAAAAGATTATGCGGTCCAGCATCCAAAAGAAACTGTCTGGAAATTACCGGAAATGTAATAGCAACTAAAATCTATTCCTATGTTGTGGGAAGAAGTAGTGAACTGTGGTAGATCGTGCACACATAGTTCCTCCCCCAAACAGAGAAGAAGTATGTGATAACAGAAGTTAAACAATCAGTTGGAATGTCTTAGATGGACATTTGGGCTTGTTCATGATTCAGTCTGTCCCATCTATTCCTAAGGAAAAACCACTGCAAAAAGATCTACAAGAAGGTGAATACCCTACACTGTTAATACAGGTTTAACCTGTATTTCTTACTCTGATTTTCAGTTTGACTTTACTGCTATCCTCATTCTTCTCCAGTATTTGACCAGGTTCTAGTGGGGACCCCAGTGGTGTATCAGCCTTCCTCTTCACTCCCTGCTGATGAGCTGATATATTACATGATGCTTCCTTGGCAAGGTGATCATCTTCCTGCAGCAATATTCAAGATCAAAATTAGATTTCTGAAGACAAGTAGCTCATATTATAGCTGAAAACTACTAGCTATAGCAACCATGCAGATGAGAGCATGCCCAATGCCTAAGAGTTATCAGCAATGGGCTCAAAACAAATTTCACCTTTTCCTGTCTGCAGGTCTTTTTTTAAGAGAAGGGAGGTATTTAAGTGAACTTTTAGAGCTTTCCCAAAAGAACATATATTTTGGTGTCATTTTCTCTTATCTTGAAAACTCCAAGTATGAATGTGGACAAATAAAGACACATGAGCAAGAATTATAAACATATTCATTTCCACAGGTTTATAAATATTCAAATGTGAAAGAGCTCTTTAATGGGACTCTTTTATTTTCTATGGAAAGATCTGTCTTCTTCATAACTGAAACTCTAGGATACATTTTAAATTTATAACAAGTAAGTACAATTTTATTTCAGAAAATCTAGGTGAATAAGTAATTTAAAATGATTATTACTAACTAACAGAGAGAGAATTTTACTTTTAAAGTGTCAAAACACAATTAGGGAACTGTCAGGCAAGTAATCTGGTCTAAATATTGGTGAAAAATGAAGCTTGAAATATTGGGGACATTTTGCCATCAATAAGAAAACCAGTTCGGGAAAACTTTCTTTAAATTACAGTAAAATGACTGATATGTGTCCTAAAGGTCTTTCTACAAAAAGCCTAGTAATTTTATAATGCATAGCTAGAAACAGAAGCTTTTCTAAAGGCAAACACATACAAATTTATATAAATAAATGTAATATATAATCTCCTCCAAAATTAGCAGATTACTCATTTACCTAACCATTCATTGCTATTTATTTATTTCAACAAGCATTTGCCAGGCACTTATCATACCTCTAGAATTGTGCTAGGTATTATATAGAGTAGAAAAAAAAAGTTAGGGCTCCTGTGTTCAAACAGCTTGCCAACACCATGTACGGACAAGATAGGCAAATATGTAATTTTCTACTACTCGAAAAAGAAATTCTATGCTCAGGTACAAAAAATCATTATGTTATCACAAAAGGAGTAAATGGACTAGCAGCACATCATTTGTTATGTGCAACTATATAGTAAAGGATGTAGTACTTTACAATTTGTAAAGTGCTAATGTCAGTCAGAAGTTTTTTTAAATGGTACAAGAAACTGTTAGTGGCTTTAAAATTCATCAGTTCAAAAGAAGCAATTCTCTCCTCTAGATAGCTCTATCTAATAAAAATACCTTTTCTGTAATACATGTGATTCTTACAGGGTTCTGAAATCCAACCAGCTGAGCGTGACTACTTGGATTAATCACAGCTTCTTGGTTGCCTGCTATGGCCTCTGGAATTATGGTCGGATTCAAGACAGCTTTTTTCTCTTTTAGATTAAGAACCAGGCCAAGCTCTGGCAAGGGTAAGCAGGAAGGTCTACTGAGGCCAAAAAGTGTGAAGTACAAGTCCACAGCGCCACACCGCAACCTCCAGTCATGTGAAGTACCTAAGAAGTAAGCAACAGAGAAACAAAAGGCAATACGCATATCTATCCACACACTTTTAACTGCTCCAGAACCTGTACAGAGATGGCCAAATTATGATGCCTAAAAGGAGCATCTACTGACCTAGGCCCCACTGGCAAACCTTTTACCCTAAAGAAGTATCTTATCTTAAGCAAATACTTAGAAACTATTACACAAACAATAAATGTTAGTGAATGAAGAAATGAATCTTATAACTGGAAAAAATTTTATCAAGCTATTCTTACAAAATGAATACCAGACATCCACTAAAAATCTAACATTCTAAAAATAGTATTTTTTCTGGCTTTTAATCTTCCCTTTAATTCCTCCTCCTTGGTCACTACTCCACATTCATTAGTTCTCTATTCATCTTTCTGAGTTTCTTCTTTAATAGCCTGTTGGGAAGACAGCACTCCATGAGCCTATGACTTGAAACAAATTCTCCTAACTCTCAGATTTATTTTCAGGTTTTAAATATACTAAGAAATTCTACAACTACTTAAAATAACACAATTCTAAATTCGGACTTATTCTAGAGGAGGAAAATATTTTGCCAAACACCTTTATATTTGTGTTGTTCCTACTAGGTATTTGTTCAAAAAAAAAAAAAAGGAAACCCCAGAGATGGCAACAGGTAGTAAAATACACACTGACCAGAAGATTGCCTGTGTAGAAATTCAGTTTAAAGTAGTTGAGAGACTAGAGGCAAGTTTTTCAGTTTCCTGATGAGTCTCAGTTTTTTCATCTCCAGAATAAGGGTTTTGGTCTCAGGTTATACCTCACCCAATAGCAGTGACAGATCAGAGCACATTGATACCAGAGTTCTTTCTCATTTTCCTTCTTTTCCAGTACAGCACTTCAGGTAGACATTGCCTGACATCTAGGGTTAGATAATTTCTATCTTTTTAGGCAGAATGTAAAATATTCTAGAGAATTAAAAATAAATGAGAAGAAGAAATACGTAAATTCTTCTGGATAAGAAAAATAAACCCTATAAATATTTAATTTTGACCAAGAACTATGGTTTCAAAAGAGTACCATGAAGTTTAAAAAAGAGAAACAGGGGCCGGTCCCATGGCCTAGTGGTTAAGTTCGGCATGCTCTGCTTTGGGGGCCCAGGTTCAGTTGCCAGGCACGGACTTACACCACTCGTCAGCAGACATGCTGTGGCGGCAACCCACATACAAAATAGAGGAAGACTGGCATAGGTGTTAGCTCAGAACAAATCTTTCTCAGCAAAAAAACCCACAAATAAATAAACAATAAAATAAGATAAAAAGGAGAAACAAAAAGCAAAAAAGTTGCTACAGTAAATTCTGGACAGCATAAATATTAAGTTTTGTGGTTTTCAAAAACAAATATCAGAATAAGTAAATAAACTGAAATCAAGTAGTGATTCTAATGAGACTTGCTCTAATAGATAAGCTACTATTACATAAATTCTATGCACAGGAAATCCATATGGGAGAAATTATAATTTTAGAGAATTCATACCATATACTACACTGTGCTAGGCACTTTGCATGCTACATTGCCACGAAACAGCTATCATCAATCCTATTTGAGACATCTTCCATTTTGCTACTGTTGGATAAGGTAACAGATATGTAACACTGTTGGAAGTCAGAGAAAGAGGCAGGAGCTCCAGAGGAGAATGAGATTTTTATGTCATAAAAACTACAGAGAAACCAGAAATGGGAAAAACTGTGCAGAGTGAAAGTAAGGATTTTATACTGGAAATCCATTTTCTTCTCTGGAATATGCATATCTGGACACTTTAATGGCCTGACATTGCTTAATTGTTTGCAGGCATTCATTATACTCCTCCTAAAAGTATTTTACACATGTAACAGTTCCATAAAGGACAGGTGTCAGATTCTTGGGCCTTTTATTACAAAGGCTGGAGGGGCTCAACCCTCTGAGGGGAGGGAAGGAATCCTGTCAGAGCAGCTAGCCCTGTATCTATCTATTCATGGGTGTAGCAAGAATAGGAGTGAATCTTAGGCATTTTATCAGTAAGGAAAACTAGAATGGTTTAGGGTACATTTACACTGGAAGAAAACTAAACCTTGAAGATCAATATTGCCGAATTACGTCTACTGCAAAGAACCATCCGGAACCTCTACATGCTGTAGATGACATGAAAACCAGTCAATCGAGTGTGAATTCCTCAAAGTTTAAAAAGAACTATCTTAATTTTAAAAAAGGAAATGAAAAACATCTACTTTGATGAGCTAGGGGTTCTGTTCTGTGTTTTGAAAGTCAGCTAAAGGATGACTAGGCAGCACAGGGAAGGCTACTAATAAACGCACTGAACCCCCAGAATATGGTTTTTGTTACTTTTTATTTCTAGGTGGGCTTTTTGGTTTTGGTTTTTTGAAGGTTTTGGTAGGACTTAATTGGGATGGAGGAATGAACATTATTTACCTCCTGAGGAAAGTACTTGATAGTATTTTTTTCCTCACAAAATTGACTTATAAATATTAAAATTTAGGGCTGATAAGAGAGAGCTAAATAATGAACAGCAGTGCTTCTGTTAAAATTACAACAAAGGAAAATCTGAACTCCATTGTATTTCAAAATCATGGAATAAAATTTTAAAATAGTTGTCATACATTATAGTGGAATTAAATTGAACAGTATAGTGGGAAAAAACACTTCTGCTTAATTACCAGTTAGCTCTGTGATCTTGGGCAAGTCAGCTGCCTGTGCCCTTAAAATGAGAACAATTAACTTAGAAAATCTTTAAGATGCCCTCAGGTCTAAACTTCTATGACTCCAAAACAATCATTGCATTACAGAGAGGCCCTGAACAGCTACTGATTTCTGCCCTCAAGACAGCATTTTGAAGACCTTTCTTTAATCTTCTAGCTACTCCTCCCACCCCACCACTTACAGGGCAAGGAATGCTCATATATATGAAAATACAACAATCGTTATTCTCTCCTCTCAGGTAAAAATGCTGTCCATTCTTGTCCTCATTAGCAGTTATACTTTGGGATCAACCCTGCCTACCTGAATCAGAGGAAAAACACTCAAGAAAAAGTAGGAAACCCAGTATTGATGTTCTCTATTCAAATCAGAAAGAATCTAAAGACAAACTCAAAATACAGTAAATCTGATCCTAAAAAAGATCATCTCTTTATTTTCTGAGGTAATTGCTATTAAAGCTGATCAAGCCAAAATGCTGCTAAGAAGAAAGCTCACTTTGAAAGCCACTGTTTTCAGGACATTTTTCAATAAACCCAGCGCTCCTTATTGACGACAGAAGCTTGGAAATTTGCACAGAGTTGGGCTGGACAAATACAACTGCCAAAGGGTAGTTCTGTCTTGATCTTTCTGTCCATCCTACACTAAGTAAAAACAGCAAATTTCATTTATATTTATGCGTATGGATACATAAATTTCCTACAAAGAATAAATTAATATGTTTTCATTTTCTTCCACCATTCATATTCCTAAGAAGGAGGCTTTGGGGGAGAGAGAAATGGAGGGACAAAACTTTGAAGTCTTCTGATATTAATATCAAAATAGTTTATTTTCTTACTTTGAAACCTGGCAAATCCTACCAAACTGAATTAGGAATTGTCCGGCATTCTACCCCTTAGAGTGTAGCTGTAAACTTTCAAACACTAAAAATTATGAAGTAAATAAACAGCCTTCAATGTCCTGAACAATTACACAAATATTTTTATGTCATTCTTATAGTAATGTGCCAAACACTGAAGAGCAGCTTGGGAGTAATGGCTAAAATTTCCTTCATAATGATATACAATCTCTTCAGTGAAGGCCCATGTCTTAAGAAGTGAAAAAACATTGATAAGCAGGCAAGACTGGAGGAAGTACTTACATTTTAAATAAAATATAAAGCAGCAATAAAAATCTCCCATTCTTAGGTTTTTATTATTTAAATGCATTTTTTAAATTATTGTCATGTTGGTCTATAAAGCTATAAAATCTTACCTAAAGCTGTAAAAGGTAGGATCTCATATGTTCTGAATTTTGAAACATTTTTATGTGGAAAAGGAAAATCATTTCCTTTCAGTGCGGTAAAAACACATACAGCTAATAGAAGTCAGCCAGGTCCTAACTCCACCTATTCCTCATTGCCTACAGGATAACACAAACTCCTGAGGCCCTTCACTTTTGGGTCCCAATCTATCTTTCCAGATAACATCCTTTTCCAGACACCCTTTCAGAACCTGAGGCTTTTATGTATAATTCTCTTAGCTAAAATGTCTTTCTCTTATGGCAAACTCTTTTCCATTCCTCCAGAGCTAGCTCAAATGTCACCACTGCATGAACATTCAGGCATTCCAGGTGGAGCTCATGATTTTGTTCTTCAAGTTCCCAGGGTACTTTGTTCCTCTCTTTATTTGAGCAACTACCTATTTGTATTATAATTTATCTGATCGTATGTCTCTCTTTCCATTATACTAAGTTAATACAAAAGGCATCTTTGTACACACAAAACGTATGGCAGCAAATAGGAGGTGCTCAAGAAATTACTGGCGAGTAAATTAATGCTTGAAACCTTTACAAAGGATTGCCGCTGAACAATGTGACATTTTTAACTAAAAATAAACCGATTTATTTAAGGTTCTTAAGCAACTATGGACGAAGACCATATAATGTGAAAGATGTTTCTCTTTAAAAATGTTTATCCTTTCTGTGATGGATTATTACTTTAAAAGCTACATGGGAAGTATAAGAACATTTCTGGGGACAACTAAGGAAATCTGAAGATGGGATATATATTGGGGTGGGGTGTGATAATAGCATTGTGAATACGTAGGAGAATGTCTTTATTCTTAGGATTATATACTAATGTATTTTGGGAAGAGTATCTGGATGAAACTTATTTTCAAATGAATCAGAAAAAAAAAGGGTATGTACATATCCACAAAGAAAGAGAGTGATAAAGAGATCACATAAATATGGTAAAATGTTAACTAGTGAACCCAGCTGAAAGTACATGGTTATTCATTGTACTATTCTTTAAATTTTTCCAAGCTTTGAAAAATTTAAAAACAAAATGTTGAGGAGAAAAAGTTATATGGGAAAATTAAACTAAAGAATGGGGTAAGATATCTGATATGTGTGTGCATGGGTAAATACAAATATAGCCCTGTATGGGTGTGGATGTTACGTGTGTGTGTTTTCAAAGCAAAAACTGTTGGGAAGATACTACGGTAGTGCCCAGAACTTAAGGCTAAGTGGAACTACCACACACCAGGCAGAGTGCAGAGACCAGGTAGTCCTGGGATCTCAAAAGCAGAAGTCTGGGAACCTTCCTTCTGGTACATGGCCATTAAAATGACTCAGTTACCAAGAGCTCCCAGGTTCTGTACCTCTCAGCTCCAAACCCCCCTTTCTAGCTCTTTCTAAAAAAGAATATTATTAATAATCATTGAATGATAAATGAATTTTTTTAAATGAAAAAAATTTCTTAGTTTATCTGTCTTATTCTCAAACTAATTTCAATTTTCTAAATCTTTCTATGTATCCCACCACAATTATTCTCTTAGTGGGAAGCTTCTGAAACCAGCTAAGCAAACAAACTTTGATTCTCCAAAGGCATCTGCTGACCATCTCATAAGATGATCCTTTCTTAATTGCCATGATACTGTCTCCCATATATTTTAAGTGAGTTCAAGAAATTGTATCACTATGCAAAATCAATACATCTCAAATCTACTTTGGAATAAGACTGAAATAAATAAGTGAATATAATTAAATCCCTATTGTCTACAGTTTATTTGTTCTCCACAAGTAAATCAAGATGATGCTTATCTTAAGTGACCAGATAACCCAGGAGCCTCAATAAGGAGTGAGGGGCAGGCAGAGTTTGCCAGGATTTAGGGATTTAGATGACGTTCTAGCTCCTTTTGTTACAAGTGAATTCTCATTATCATTTCTTAAAACAATAACTATTAAGAAAATAATACAGCACTGTGAAAAATTCTCATGATAAAATGCTATTTTAAAACCTTCATTACTACTAAAACTGTGTACACATATACACGCACTCAAGCTTTTTCCCCTAAAGGCTAAATATACTCCAATCTTAAGAGTGGGAATGCAATGGAATTACGTAATATTTTCCTTTTTATTTTGTTCAGATAAATGCTGTAACATGATTATATTACTTTCATCATAAAGAATAAGAAACTGCAAAAGTTAAACAAAAAAAAGATATCTTAGATGAGATTCATTCATGTATCCCAGAGGTCCAGGCTTGCAAGGGACATGAGCGATCCTCTAATCAATCTTCCCTGTCTAACATTTAATGTTCTCCAAAAACACGAAAAAAACAAAACAAAACAATCCTTCCAATTATTCATTCCTCTCCCACTGTTCACATTGCTCCTATTTATTTATAGATCTGAAGAGCTGACCAATAAATTGTTTATGACTTGGCCCCACTGATCTATTTTGTTTAGATTATTGGCACAGAGAATTCCAACCAAAGCAGCAACTGTACTTTATACTGAACACTACCAAAGTTAAATACTAAAACATCAGTTAGAGCTTGTATTTGTGTAACTACGACCTTCCAATGGGCTTCAAATGTTTTATAGAAATTGTCCCATTAATCTTAAACACACATTTATTTTGTCCAAGAAATCTTCCCTAGAAAGTGACAGGAGAATCCCTTATTTCATTATGCTTTCCTCAAAGTTGTAATCCGTCACAGTCACGGAATCATGAATTCTTGTTAAGAGTATATTCAACACAATACATTTCGTGCCATACATTAACTGTTGAATGATCCTTTACAAGTTCCTGAACTTGTGTGCTCATTCTCTGGATCTAACTGACAGTAATCATAACATCCTTTGAGGTAACCACAAGTAGCAAAATATACAACTTTATACAAAAACAGCAGCAATCATTCTTCTAGGGATTAGGGAAAACAGAAAACTAATTTGGCAATATCGTTATAAACTGGTTTATGTGTTGTTTTCTGAGTACTTTGAGGACAAGGGTCACACTATTTTCAATTTTATTATATTTCAATGAAACACCAACCACGGTGCCTTTACTTGGGGGTACTGCACTGTGATTATGAAACAGAAGGACAGAAGTTATACAACCAGTTGACATCTCAACGTCAGTAAATTAAATAATTTTTTAAAAAGAATCAGAACTTGGTATTTAGTTGTGATTCAGTTAAATAGCCATTAATGAGATAGGTAGGACAAGGTACTTTCCAGTATTCTAGAAAGAAGATAAAGTGACATACTTACTAGAAGGAAAATCCACTGCCCTCTCACCATCTATCTGTAACAATTTATCTTTAAGCAAAACACATTTCAGCCCAGCTTTCGATTGAATTTTAAACCAAAATCAGTATTACAATTTCAACATATCAGAGACATAAGGCAAATTTTCTTTAAATATGTACAACACTTACAAGTCAATAGGAAAAGACCAATAATTCAATTAAATAAAAATGGCAAAGAATAAGAATGACTTACAAAAAATGAACTACAAATAGCTCAAGTATATGAGAAGCATAATATCATTACTATGTTAGTATAACAACATTTTTGAGCACTTACAAACTAGATACTGTGCTTCATAAATATTAACTCATTTAATCTTTAGTTTGCAGAAATAGGTATCATCACCACCTCCATTTTATAAAAGAAAAATCACAGACTTAGACAAGTTACATAGAGTAAATCATTCAGCTGAGACTTGACCATCAGCAAACTAGTGCCAGAGCTAGTACTCAGGAGCACTGTTATCCTGCCTCTAGACTTCACTCAAATAATGTAAATTAAAACTGTGATGAGATACCATGATCTTTAAGGTGCAAAACAATAATGATATATACTGCTCCTGAAAGAATACACAAGAAATTGGCTACTTCTGGGAAAAGCCACTAGGTGGCTAGGGAAAAGAGGTGAGAAGACTTAGTTTTCAACCCTTTGTAATCTTCTGAAATAAAAATAACAATAATAATATCTTGCAGGTTCATGTTTACAGCTCTTTAAACATTTGAGACACTTTCACATAAATTAACATTTCTGTTTCCTCAATCACCCTGTGCGGCAAAGTGAGTGAATATACCCTTAGCAACTGTTATCACACCTACCACTGTGAAGGTAAGTATTATACGTATCCTACTGAAAAAAAAGACAGAAGATTAACCACAGTTCTTTAAGTACTGAAAACCTTTGTAAAATGAAAATTCTCCCATAATAAAAAATTTTTTAAAAGCCAATGCCATCTGTCTCACCAGAATTCATAAGTTTCCAAAGTTGATCTACCAAGGCTTCATTGCATAAGGGAGACTCCATGTTCTTAGTAAATGGCGGGTTCTTCGTCAACATGTTTAGAATCTTATGTCTGAAAGAAAAAACAATTAAGTTTATGCTGACCACTAAATAAAACCTTTTGAAAATTATCTATAGTTCCTTCTTCCTATTTTACCATCTTTCTTCTTAGATTTCGCTTTGTGTTTTAGTTTCATTTCAAAAGACATTATGTTGCATCCTGCTACTGTTTTTTTCACTAAAAAAATTCTGGTGGGTTTGTTCTTTCTAAAATCACCTTAGTATACAATGAGGTCTTCTAAAACCTGACTCTATGTATTCCTAACCAACCTTTCCCCTCTCACTTCTAAAATAAACATTTTACTCTCCTTACAAAAGTTTACAAGAAAGACTGGTTGGTACATATAAAAATCTTAAAATAGGGCAAAAAAAAAAAAAATCACATATAGGCCAGGAAGAAGTTCACATTTGCAATAATAAAATGAATATAAACTTCATTTTTATAGTATCTTTGTAAAACATGGAAATGTGGAGAAGTATTTTAAATACGGAGATTGCAAAAAAGTTTCCTCAAAATAAGCTGAGGTTTAGAAGAGTCAACTAATAAAAATATCCTCATAGAGGGTAACAGTTAAACTCCACTATCAAGAGTTTTTATCTCATGTGAGAGGCTACCCGAACACATTATGGAGTCTTCTGAAAAATAGGGCAATGTGATAAAAAAAAATATGAAAAAGAAAATGTCCAGTGCTATGAGTAGGAGACATGATAAAAAGAGGACAGAGAAATAAAAGGAGAAGTGAGGAAGCTACAGCAGTAGTCTAGCATTTAGTGAAGGGATAAAAGCCAGGCCCAGGACTTGAAAGTCTGAGAAATTCAAGACCTCAGAGTAATAGAATGCTTGGATCTAACTGAGGAAGAAGGAAACTTACATTGTAATTTTTATTGAGGTTAGCAAAACCTTACAGAAGGTGAACCCGGGAAACTTTTACATTTAATTGGTGGTGGTAAGACATCAAATTGGATTTGTACTTGAGAAAGAGATGGGAAGAAAGTGGAACTGCTAGGTTGTAGTTTAAGTCATTTAACCCCTTTTGGCTTCAATTTCTATGTCTGTAAAACTGAAAGACGTAGATTCTCACCATTAACATCCTTTTGGGCTTTGAAATTTTAAGATTATATGAAAGATTACTGAAAGGTTATGAGAACAAAAAGTGAAATGTGGTTGTAGATGCAATTTACAGATAGGTAAAATGAAAGAGGATACATACAGATATCTCATATCCATATTTTCCTATCTTTATGGATAAACATAATTCCTGTCGTTAAAGATCTCAAAATCTATTTGTAAGGACAGATCAGTATTACAGGTAAATAACATCTTCACCTGTTCTTTAGAGCTTGTTAATGTTGTTATACTTTTAATGCGCATGAAGAAGAAAAGTTAAGTTTCTCTTCAGCTGCTTTCCCAATTACTTCAAATACCAAAGTGGCAGGGGCCAACTAATAAAACTTTATGGTATTTACTCAGATCATTACAAACACTTCACAGTCACACCAATGAATTATAAATGGTGCTTTGGAGATATCTTTGAAATTATCACTAAAAGAGCAATAATGATTAGCACATATATTACTTTTAGCAAATTAAACATTTCTTCAAATGTGGTTTAAAGATTAGATGATAGAAGAAAGCCTTTTACGAGGAAACGTTTATAAATCACTAAACACTTAAAGCAATATTCAGAGGAGATAAAGTTTAAGAGAAGACAATGAAAATCTTATGCTTAATCTTTCTGAGATTAAACATCAAAACTCACAACAAGCATACACTTCAGGCATCTGGAACAGACCTGAAGCAAATCCTGAGAAAGTCATGAGTTTACGTCACGTTCACAGCAGCAAAAATATCATATTATTTCCCTGAATAACTGAGAATTTTCTTGGTAGGCCAGTCCAATCCCATAGCCAATCACTATCTATAAGAAACGGAGTCAAATCAAAACCAAAAAGATGTTCAAAATCTGTCAGGAGAAAATGCATTGGATATGTGTGTCCCTTGAGGAACCGATACATTGTAATCATATGCATACTTGATTCTAAAATGAGAAGACAATTTCATGTCATCTTTACAATAATCCTACCCAATCTTAAAGCAAATATAACTAGTAATTCTTCCTATCAATGTAAAAAGTATACACGTGCACAGAAATGAGTAGGAAGCAATAATCCAAAAGTTAAGAATGTTGCTTCTGGTTGAAGTAATTCTACACTATTTTTAAGTTTTCTTCCTAATATGATTTTGTATTTTTCCAAATTTGTATGAATATTTTAAAAAGTCTTTCCCACTGTAAGAAAACTTTATAATTTTCAAAAATGTAAATTTCATTTTAGTTTAAAAACAATGCACCTAGACTTAAATATTTATTTAAAATTATACACCTAGGTTATTTCTTTATCCCACCAGATGTGTAAAATGAACAATGCTAGTAATGTGACAGGCGAACATACAGGTTAACCAAAGTACATTTATTCCATTTAAATTCTCAAGATATCTTAACAAAGAACTGACTTACAATCTGAAAATCTTCTATGAAAGTAGACAATCCTATTACTACATTTAAAACGTCAAAGCAACATAAAAGACCGAGAACTTTCCCAAACATTTTAAAATAATTAAACATCTTAAAGTTTTTTCTATATACAGTTGTCAATAGAGACAAAATCACTTCTCTTTAACATATGAATTAAGCTAAACATTTATGCGATTAGAAGAAAAAGGAAAAAACTGTATGCAACGACTTAACACACATTTAACCAACTATATGCAAGGCATCATGCTATGTGCAAGACATACAGTGGCAAAAGGAGACACAGTTCCTGTCTTTTGGGAACTTATATTCCCGTGAGGGAAGCAGAGATCATCAAATAATCAAACCACAAAATTACTATTTATATATAGGAAGTAATTACGTAGTTGAATATAGGGAGAACCGTAGGATTTTACGGGTGATTATGACTTGAGGAACGTGAACCAGCTAGCACAGGGAGTCAAGGGAGCATCCTTGTAGAAGTGATGTTCAAGTGTGGCTCTTAAGTGTAACAGAATCATCACAGGTAATTCGGTTTTCTTCCTCCAGACTTCAAATTTCACCCCAAAATTCTTCAGAGCTTTATCTAACTCTAGCAAAATCAGTAATTCTGATATATATAATAATAAACACAGAAATGGAAAATCAAGTTTTTTTAATTCAATTCTTAATGAAGGCCATTTTAACATTAGGAGTTTAAAAATCAACCAGGAAGGCTAGCCCAGTAGCTTAGTGGTTAGGTTCGCACATTCCACTTCGGCAGCCTGAGATTCACAGGTTCGGATTCTGAGTGCAGACCTACACAGCTTGTCAAGCCACGTTGTGGTGGCATCCCACATACAAAACAGTGGAAGACTGGCAGAGATGTTAGCTCAGCAAGAATCTTCCTCAAACAAAAAGAGGAGGACAGGCAACAGATGTTAGCTCAGGGCCAATCTTCCTCACTAAAAAAAAGAAAAAAAAAAAACACCCCACCAACCAAGGGCCATAAAAATTAAATGCTGTGTTTGGGGCGGGAGAGAATAATGACACTGATTTTAAGAGAGATATAAATATTTACCTATCTTTAAGATTAAGACTTCTATCCAATTAGAGCAGAATATAGCAGTTCTATATGATGGTTACTTAACAAGCTTAAGAAAAAGTAATAGAACAGATTGGTGGTTGCCAGAGGTGAGGGGTGGAGGATGGGTGAAATGGGTGAAGGAGGTCAAAGGGTACAAACCTCCAGTTATAAAACAAGTCATGAGGATGTAATATACAGCATGGTGATTATAGTTAATAATATTGTGTTGCGTATTTGAAAGTTGCTAAGAGAGTATATCTTACAAGTTCTCATCACACATACACAAAAAATTTTAACTACAGTGTATGGTGACAGATGTTAACCAGACTTACTGCGGTGATCTCTTTGCAACATATACAAATATCATGTTGTACACCTGAAACGAATAATGCTATATGTCAATTATACCTCAATTAAATAAATAGATGGATGAAAGAAAGAAGGAAAAGAAAAAAAAAGAAAAAGCAACGAGGGGGAAAAAGAGAAAAGGACAGAGCTCCTATTCAAAGAATAAAAAACAGAGAAACACAAAAACAGAGACAGATGTCCAAGATAACAAAAATACACACATAACATAACTGCTGTGTGATAACACTCCTATCCTACGACCATTCATTACCATTAACGATTTTTTAAGACATAGTGAATTTTTTTAACTATAACTATGGGCTAGATGATATTAAGTAAAGCCTAAGAGGTTCCCTATTGGTGATATAAATGAACCAGATCAGTTAAGATGAAAACATGTCAAAAAAAAATCATGAAATATATCATGAAATATACTTTTAAATAGTGTCAGTTCAGATTGTAAATAACAGTGCTCTTGACATTTGAATATTAACAGTTCCACAACATCTCAAAAGCAATCATTTAGATGGTATAGCACGTAATTTAGAAATATAATAATTTCAAGTATTTCCTACTATTACAATCTGCCAAAAATGGTCTTCAAAACACAATTCCAAGATCTCATAAATATGCATCTTAACGTTAGTTCTATGGTTGTGAATTGAAAATGTAAATGAATACATGGTAAGCTTTATTTATACTATATTTATACTTTCTGTTCCCACTTGCTATCAGTAGGATCTTCTTGTAAACTTTCAAATGCATGAGCTCTGTCAGATATGAGATGAGGCTGGTTTCCCACCTATCGTCTTTCATAAGAATATGTGCTTTAGAATAGGTGATTAGGGGCCAGCCCCGTGGCTGAGTGGTAAGTTAGCACGCACTCTGCTTTGGCACCACTCATCAGGCCATGTTGAGGCAACGTCCCACATGTTACAACTAGAAGGACCCACAACTAAAATGTGCAACTATGTACTGGGGGCATTTGGGGGAAAAAAGTAGGGAAAAAAAAAAAAAGAAGAGGATTGGCAACAGTTGTTAGTTCAGGTGCGAATCTTTAAAAAAAGAATAGGTAGATAGGAGATTTTTGTCCATATCAACCTTACCCTTAGTATACATCAATCACAAGGACATAATATTTAAAATACAATTTAGATCACAAATCAAGAACTATGAAATGTTAACAGCAAAACTTTCTACAAAGAATATTTATATAATAAGCATCATTTAAAACACTGAAATACAAGGTGATTTAAGCAAGAATTCACTGCTACAACCAACCTGAAAAACTACTGTTGGCCAAAGATAATGTTCGTTAGGGCACTGAAATCCCTCATGCAGATTTGTCAGGTCCAGGTGCATTTCAGGGAGGTTGGAAGGCAGAGTTTACTTGTATGTCTTTTTAGAAGAAATTACCTATCTGCCAACTGATGTACAAAGTTAAGCAGGACAATTAATGTCTCTAGGTCTATGTTCTTGTTTCTAGTTGGAATGGCTATAATCTAAGTTGCTTTCCAGCTTTCAAATTTAATTTTATGAAATCATAATATTAAAGCAAATGAACAAAAACTTGAGAGGCTACTGTGTGCAAAGAAAGGAAGACAGACATGGTCAAAAATTTAAACCTACTGGAATACACTGTAAACATCTAACCTTGCAAAAGAAAGCAGCAGAAATGAAGGAAATGAAGACTACAAGGGGATACAAAAATGAAAACAGTTACTATGTCAGGACTTCGATTTTCTTTTGTTTTCCCTTATTTTCTAAAATTTTAATAATGTCATATTACATTTTTTAACCCCATCTATTCAATAAAAATTGAGATTTTATATGAGAAAGAAACAAATGGGATACACCAAAACATTGTTCCTAAATACTTTTAAAATAAACTAAACCAATCAATACAGAGCTTTTATAATTGTGGGTATATAAGGGATCCTCCATGTGCACTACAAACTGTTACATAAGCTTTTCTTTAAGTTACAATAGAAATTACACATAAAATTGCAGGGAATAAACTTTGCTTTTTTGTTTTGTTTTGTTTTGTTTTTGAGGAAGATTAGCCCTGAGCTAACTACTGCCAAATCCTCCTCTTTTTGCTGAGGAAGACTGGCCCTGAGCTAACATCCACGCCCATCTTCCCCTACCTTAAAGATTTTTAAAAATTTTTTTTTCCTTTTTCTCCCCAAAGCCCTCCAGTACATAGCTGTATATTCTTCGTTGTGGGTCCTTCTAGTTGTGGCATGTGGGATGCCGCCTCAGCGTGGTTTGATGAGCAGTGCCATGTCCGCGCCCAGGATTTGAACCAACGAAACAGAGGGCCACCTGCAGCGGAGCGCGCGAACTTAACCACTCGGCCATGGGGCCAGCCTCCATCTTCCTCTACTTTATACGTGGGAGGCCTACCACAGCATGGTGTGCCAAATGGTGCTATGTCCACACCCGGGATCTGAACCAGAGAACCCCAGGCCGCTGAGAAGCAGAACATGCGCACTTAACCACTGCACCACCGGGCCAGCCCCTAAACTTTGTTTCTTAACAATAAAGTTTTAAACATGTCTTTCCAAAGGGAAATCAAATAAAAAAGGGCATGAATAAACACATAACATATTCCTATATTTTCAAAAATAATAAAGACTTGTTTCATGTATAATCTTCTGAAATTATTCAATCTACATTAGGACTTACAAAAACAAAATATTATAGCACAAAAACTAACCTTACATAGGGTACAGGATCGTTCTGAATCATATTAAGCAGCCACTGCAGTTCTTCATAACTTCTGTCCACTGAAAATAAAATTAAGGAAATATACTTGTAGTTAATTGCAATGAACTAAATAACAAGTGACAAGCAGGGAGTTTACACTTAATATTTAGGACTCTGCCTTTGCTCTATTTCCAATCACAGCTGAAGACTGTAGGCAACTTCTCACTTTTTCTATGCAATATGCCGTTTTGTAAATTGTATAAGTATTGTGCTATATGAAGCCAAAACACAAAACAGGACCAAGTGTGTATTTTTCACTAAATCAATAGCAAATACAACATAAAGCAAATTATAATTTAAGAACCCTAAATTAGAGATGATTAACTCTAAATGGACAAAATGTGTTTAAAATAAAATTGTGGGGGCCCGGCCCCATGGCAGAGTGGTTAAGTTCGTGCACTCTGCTTTGGTGGCCCAGGGTTTCACTGGTTCGGATCTTGGGCACAGACATGGCACCACTCATCAAGCCACGCTGAGGCGGCATCCCACATGCCACAACTAGAAGGACCCACAACTAAAAATATGCAACTATGTACCAGGGGGGTTTGGGGAGAAAAAGGAAAAAATAAAATCTTAAAATTGTGTTTCTAGATGCTTAAATCAAATTATAGAGGTTTGATACTCAACAGTATCTCACCTATATTACACAGAATGGTAAACACTTTTTTGCCCAAGCAATTTCTTTCATTTAAGGCTAGAGAGCAGCCTTAACTTTTCAACACAACATAAAAGGCAATTACAAAATAGTGCTATAAACATAACTGACTTCAACAAAATGACTTAACTACTCCCACCCACCTTTTCAACAAGTTTCACTTTTATGATTTGAAAAGCTTTGTTTTTAGAATTCTATTTCTAATATTTTTGATTTTTTCATTTTCTGATGATCTGGATTCATGGACCACATTTAAAAACCTTTCAATTTAATTATACTTAATAATTTAGCATTCTTTTGTAAATCATAATATTAGCATTGTATTTCATTTCAGCTAGTACCGATCCATGAAATCTTCATATTTATGTGAACATTCATGTACCTTGAGAAAGAAGGTTGGGAACACTGGCACATTTGGTGGATATCAACACTTCTAGATTTCACAAATTGGTAAAATGTCAAAACAAAACTGGAGACTGATACAGGCTTACATTTTTTTTTCCTTGCCAAGAAATTCATTAAAAAAGAAAAATCACTATTTTTACACCACAATTTCTTAAAAGAAAAATATTTTAATCCTCAATAAAAAAGAACAAATGACAGTTCTTTCCAAACTTAGGTCAACATACTCATTATATTGTTCTTACCCTTTTATAATTTCTGACTATAAAGTATTTCTATTAGAATTTACAAAAAATTATAAAGATTTGAGTATATTTTCCTCTACTTAACATGCAAATATTAACCTATAGCTACTATAGAACTTCTCTCATCCCCTCCTTTCTTTCCAAAGCCAGATGAGAAGTTTAGCATACTTTAACTTCTTTACTCTTCCCATTGTTTAGTGCTATAATCTGGAATTTTAGATGCAGATTTACGTATTTCCTATATTTGCATATTAAAGAATTTTTGAAAGCTGCATTAAATTTTACAACCATGTTAACAAATACTTAAATATTTTAAATACTTTACAGGCATAGTTGCCCATCACTAGGTCTTTCATTTCACACCTCATCAATCTTGAGTTATTTTGATTCACTTTCAGGTCAGCTGAAAATTATCTTTGGGAAGTTTGTTTTTAAGAATGTCACACAGGAGATGTACTTCTAAGTCTTCTAGGCCACATGAGTGACAACTTGGCGGATCATAATTTTCCCCAAACATTATGTTAGCCATTTGTTCAGTCTTTTGAACTCTTCATATTCTGAAGAAGTCACAGGCCACATTATTCTTTTATACCTTGTACAATAACTGAGTTCTGATATTCCTGGGAACCTACATATTCTTCCTTAACCTTAAAATTTTAAATTTCATCAGACTCTAGCTTAGGTCAGTTTCATTTACACTTTTCAAAGTATTCTATTATTTCTTGGATTATTGCTTTTCTTCCACTTGTTCTCTTCATGACAATTTTTTTTTTTTTACATTTGCATCTCTTTAATCTTTCTCTTCTGTATTTTTGAAAATGTTTTGGATATGTAGTATTCTCTCATTCATTTTTTGGCCTTACCTTTTTTTAAACTTCATGAAGCCTTGCCTAATCCCCCTACTGAAGCTCCTGTTTTTGTCTCTTGCTCTACTTTCACAGACACAAATTTCGGACAGATGCAAGATGTTCTGCATCCTTCTGATAGAGTTAGAAATTCCCCGAAAATCATCTTCTATTTCTTAAAGTAACATGTAATTAAAGCTATAGAATGATACACTGACTTCGTGGAAAGACCAAAGATATCTATCTACAATTTTATTCTTTTCCCTTATTTACTAATTCTTATACAAATTCTACATTTACAAAAACTTCTTTCTAAATCAGAGAGTCAAGAATTTACAACATCTGTATTGTACATAATATGAAAACTCCAATAAGAGTGGCTTTAAATAATAAACATTTCTTTCTAAAACAGTATGAGCATATATTTCTAAAGCGATACCTTTAGTATAATCAACAACTGCTTCCAAAGCTGCTATCCTAATGTCCACGAAGTGTCCATATTCTGCATAAGATTTAAAAAGAGCTGGATCACTTGGCACATGTCCATTCTTCTGAAGCACTCGTATGGCTCTCAAACAACTAGGAAAATATTGTTTACAGTTAAATGCTTTTGTTAAAGTACTGTGAATCAAACTTGTTCCTTAGGCATTAGAAACTAATCTGTAACAGTAAACTGAAAAGTTGATGTGATTTGAATCTACCTTTTAATTTTATAACATTAAATTTTCACAATGATTATTAAAAAAAATCTAAATCCTATTAAAAGAAAACAAATTCTCAAAACTTGTTTGGAAATCCAATTTCAGGTATCAGTATACTTATAACAGGAACACACTTCAGAAAAAGGTAATTAGCATAAAATATATTTCTTTTTTGTTTTTGATGAAGATTAGCCCTGAGCTAACTGCTGCCACCAATCCTCCTCTTTTTGCTGAGGAAGACTGGCCCTGAGCTAACATCTGTGCCCATCTTCCTCTACTTTATATGTGGGACGCCTACCACAGCATGGCTTGCCAAGCAGTGCCATGTCTGCACCCGGGATCTGAACCTGCAAACCCCAGGCCACTGAAGCAGAATGTGGGAACTGAACTGCTGCACCACCAGGCCGGCCCCAAAATATAATTTAAATATTTTCTTCAAAGTTTTAGCAATATATATTTTAGTGAATAATATACATGGAAGATTAAAACTGTTCATAATGTTTGAATAAGTGAATCAACTACTTTTAGCAAACTCCAAAAGAAGCAGACAGGACTTTTTCTTTTCTTTTCTTTCCTTTTTTTTTTGGTGAGGAAGATTGGCCCTGAGCTGAGCTAACATCAGTTGCCAATCTTCCTCCTGTTGCTTGAGGAACATTGTCACTGAGCTAACATCTGTGGCAATCTTCCTCTATTTTACACCAACACAGCATGGCCTGACGAGTAGTGCTAGGTCTGCGCCGGGATCCAAACCTGCAAACCCTGGGCCAGTTTTTCCATATTCAAAAACCTGGTGTGAACTTAACTACTATACCACTGGGCTGGCTCCAGACAGAACTTTTTGATAGCCATATACAAAGAAGTTGATAGGAGCAAAAAGTCACCTTAAAAAAAGCCTAACGTTAGAGGGATGTTTAAAATATATCCAATGGGATAAAACATTATGCAGACATCAAAAATTATGTTTATGAAGAATTTCAGATGACCATGAGGAAGTGTTTATGATATAAGCAGAATACAAAAACTACATATACAATATATGTCAAGGAATTAAAAATTTATAGTCACAAGGGAAAAATCTTAAAAGGCCATTCTCCAGAATAGCAATAATTTTATCTGTGATGGTAGAATCATAGAGGATTTTAATTTTCTCCTTTTACTTTACTATATTTCCCAATTTTCAACAATGAAAATAAATTTCTCTTATAATTATAAAAACAAATAACTTTAAAGAAAATGTAAAGAATTAGCATACCTGACAGTGATAGTGTGTCTATAACTTGGAAGAAGTTTTTCCATATTCAAAAACCTGGTGATTTCTTCAAGAATGAGTCGCACATCCGGATTTAAATTATCCAAAGTTCGAACTTCATTATTCACACTGACTGCAGGTGTAACGGAGTTGGCAAGGGCATCAATCATTTCTGCACGGTAATAGTTATCTGAAAACTAAGTCAAAAAATAATTATGAGAAGATAAAAAAAAGTTCATACTTCTATTCAAAAGTCAATAAAATATTTATAACTTAAAGATATAATTTATCTGAAAATATAAGCAGGTTATCTAAGTATTCAACTCTCTCCTTTGCGTAGAGTGTGACACGTTAGAAAAAAGAGTAAAAAAGATTCACAAATTAGTAATACATTAGCTTACTCAACAAATATTTACTACCTGTAAGGCACTCTTCTGGTGACCTAGCCAGATTCCTCTAAAAGGAAGACACAGTCCACAAATCCTGCTGGTAATACAGAGCTTGCAAATTGGCTATTTAGTACTCTATTCTCATATATAAACATACCACCAAGGGTCACCACATATTTGAGGAAAGCATCAACATAAAAAAGAGAAACCAGAACAAGCAAAGGAGAAAAAGCAACTAAGAGGATATAGAGGATGCAAGGAAAAAAATCAGCAGGGGGGAAGAAATCTAAAAACTATGATTATCTGTCTGAGAAATAACCAATGATATGCCTTCCAATAGCTTAACATATTTTACAAAAGAAATATGCAGAGACTCAAGATCAAAATTAAATTGGAATATAAAATTGAAAAATAACTCCTGAAATTCTGAGCAAAAAGAAGAGATATAAAATAGGAAGAAACGCATAAGGAAATTAGAGGGCTGGTACAAAAGACATAACATACAAATAATAGGAGTTCTAGCAAAAGAAGCAAAGAAAATGGAGAAGGAAATCACCAAAAAAAAAAAAAAATTTAATTCCTAAATCCATATCCCAGTCAATTCCCAAAGAAGCAATTTACTGAAAGGCAATCTGAGCGCGGTTTACTTAAACTCAGCAAATCAGATGCTCCAGCCTGGAAATCTGAACATGGAGCAAGCAAGTGAATTCTCTCAGCAGTGCTTGGCAGATGTTGTGCCACTCAAAGTGCCACGGGACGGAGCAGGGATACCTGCTCTCTTTTGACTTCCCTTGTGGAAGCAGAACCTCACAGCGACACACAATGACAGAGTCCCTAAACATTCCGACACTGGGCAGGAAATAAAATAAGGTATACAACAAACAAAAGAAACCAAAAGAAAAAGTACTCCACAAGTGATCATTATGGACAAAGTTTTGTTTTCAGATCATTCTAATGATTGAAAAATTGATCTCTATAACTTCAGTTCCCTAGTCCTAATTCTTCCCTCTGACGCCAGAGAGAATGTTTATGGGGTTCTTCTTTTCACTATATTAATTTTATTTTAATGTTGTTGCATTTATCAATCTTTTCTTTTTTGGTTTCTAAGTTTTAGAAAGGCCATTTTCATTCAGGGATCATTCAAATTATGTTCACGGGTTTTCTTCAAGTATTTTTACAGTTTCATTGTTACCTCTGCTAACTACTTTACCAACAAAGCAAGAGCCATTTGTTTAACCGTTATTTCTGACCTAAGTATTCAGATCACAGAGTGAACTCAGAAATTAAAAATGAGTAGGAGGCATGGGTAAAGTAGGAAAACCAAAAGATTTAACATTTACCCCTCAGACCACATCCAATTCTCATAAATACTATAATCCCAACGGAACAAGCTAGATTATCTGATCACCCCAAAGTTAAAAGAGATAAAGTAAAGAAAAAATAATTTGTGGAATGCAATTGGGGGGAAGAGCAGCATTTAGTACAGCAAAAATTCTTACAAAAAATAAAAAAACTGACGGCATCAATATCAATGTATTGCAGCAAAGACTGACGTTTTTAACAACGATAACTTGGTGCCAGGAATAGTTCAACCCATGTTCTGTATACCTTATTTAAGAAGACAGAAGAATTTCATAAACCTATATATGATTTATTATAAATACGTTAATACATGAGTATGTATAAAAGATTTTCATATAAAATGGCTAATAACTAAACTTAAAAGGAATTAAATTTTAGTCTTCTTGAAAACCAAATCATCTAGAATACTGCATTTTAATGCTCCTGCCCAATTAATGAGATGTTAAAATTTTTAAAAATATTTTGCCCCAAGTCCCAAAACTTCTTTTTGGCATTTAATGTTTTACGTTCCTAATTTAATTTTATTTGTAGAATATCTGTCATTTGTTCTCATATACTTTAAAAACTCTGTATCTATGCTGTGAACCTTTTTTTAAATGTGCTTAACCAAAGCCTTCAGAGACAAATCATTCATGGTTGGAAGTGAAGTACTCTAAAAACAAAGAAACAGATAAGCCAGCAAATGAAATACTCTTAGGCATCCACCCAATCACATCTTTTCTGCAAGTTTTAATTCATTAATCTATAAATCTTTAAATGACGACAAAATCTTTTTCTCCCATCCATAATTGTTAAGAGAGTAAGGTTTGACATCAGATAGATCTGGGTTTGTCTCCTGGCCTTGCCACGTATGTGACCTTAGGTAAATCTGTTAACCTTTATTAGCTTCTGTCTCCTCACATGGAAATTGAGATAATAATAGTATCTACCTCAGAGGTCTAATGAGCATCATATTAGATTATCCATGTTTTGGTACAGGCCATCGAATATGTAAAAAATTAGCCATTATTATTACTGTTGCTATTATTATTTGCATTATTCTATCCTTAATATCTTCAGAGATTAAGATACAGTATAGCCTTAATTTACAGCAACTAACTGTAACAATTGATTAGAGTTCTCAAAATTAAAATGAGTCATATCGTTCCACAAAAACAATGAAGTGTAAAATTTAATAATTCATCAGTGTGCACCTCACAAAATCATAAATGATGACATGTATGATAGCATGGTGTACTAAAAAGATCACCACACGGATGGGTGGCAGGAGCTCACAGCATAATTCCCAGATTACATTTCCTGTGTAATTTTAGATTCTCAACCTCTGTGTTTTGCTTTCATTTGTCAAACAAGAGGTAACAGAAACCTCCAACTATGTAATAGGTAAGGTTTAAAGGAATTACGGTAAGTGAAATCACTTTGCAAAGTAGCAAGTAGGGGCCACTATGAGTTAAATTATATAAACCCTACCCAAAACAAGAAGATGGACATAAATCATTTGTCAAACTATTTTCCTATTCCATTTGAATATAATCTGATTTCACACCATCCCACATCCTAATCTTATATCTTCAAATATAAGAAATCCATGTGTAGAGGAAGAAATACTTTAAATGAAAGTCAAACAAACCAGCAGACTAGAAAGAATTTCATAAAAAATTTGTTAATGGTATTCACAGTTGGAAAGAAAAAGTGTATCAGCAATAACGTATTCTTTTAAAGCAATAATCTATTTATTCATTTATTTTTTGGTGAGGAAGACTGGCCCTGAGCTAACATCTGTTGCCAATCCTCCTCTTTTTGCTTGAGGAAGATTGTAGCTGAGCTAACATCTGTGGTAATCTTGCACTATCTTCTAAGTGGGATGCCGCCACAGCATGGCTTGATGAGTGGTGTGCAGGTCCACACCCAGGATCCAAACCTGAGAGCCCCAGGCCACCAAAGCAGAGCAGGCAAACTTAACCACTATGCCACTGGACCAGGCCCTTAAAGCACTAATTTTTTAAGGACTCTTTTTAGCTTAAATCATTTGAATTTATTCTACTCACTTAAAGTGAGGAGGAAAAGTCTGTCTTATTGATTTTCGTTACTTTGGTAACATTTTATTAAACTTTTCATGAATTCGACTTATCCTACCAGTTACATCTGTCTTTATATGTGCTGTTCCTTCTGCCTGGAATAATCTTCCTAGATTGGCCCTATTCATAGAGTAGGAAAATCCTATTATCTTTATGACTCAGTTTGAGGGTCACCTCTTACATACAAAATTTTGCTGAGTCTTTCTCTGTACACCCTTGGAAAAAGGCACTACGTTCTCTGAACTCCCCTAGAAAACTGTGTACACTTATCTCCACCATAGTAGTTATGAATGACTGTTAACTGTTTACTCATCTGATTTCCCCATTAGGGTGAATTCTTGAGGGCCCAGAATCGGACTGTGATATATAGCAGCTGTTCAACAGATGTCTAACGAAAACATGAAAGTCTGCATGGCATCTACCACCTCTTCTTTCTATTTACCATGGTACACTGCCTAGCTTAGCGTATATTCTTAAAAATATTTGCTGTTTGGTAGGATAACAAGTAAGGTGAAATAACTTTCAAAGCATGGCATTCCATATCTATTTGCTAAATAAATGAATAAACACATATAATGGTTAAAAAAAAAATCAAACTCATCAATGAACGAATTATCCCAAGAGGGAACTGTTTTCTGGGTTTCACTTGGTAAAACAAAAAAAGGAACAAAAATAAAATCGGGCTGTGAGGCTTCACCAAAACATGTTTTAGCTGACTTCCCCAAATCTGATGCACTATTATCTCCATATTACAATGCATATGAAGAACATTTAAAAACCAACTAGTCTTCATCCATTGGTTAATATAATAAATTACATTGACATGTTTCTATCCCTAGAAATTTCAAGTACCATGAGCTCAACAACGGTTTTACAGTCTAAATATTTCTTTAAAAACAAAATATCACTGGGTAGTTTTATAATATTCATTATTCATTAAAGTATCTTACCTTATTTTTTCTGTTGTCATTGTACTTGATTAGGTCTAAAATAAATGTTAAGACTTCTTTGGGACAAAGGTTGTGAACATCTCTCAATAAAGCCATTGCAACTGGCATAGTCTACAAAAAAAAATTTTTTTAAAGCATTTTTAAGCATTTAAGCATTTTTAAGCATACTCTTTCATTACTGCAATTCATTGAAGTATATACAGAAAAAGGGTTACTCTGGGGCTGACATAGGTATCTGGACGGAGCCTAGCCCCTCTAACTCCTACCTTCTCCCACTGGGAACATGTCTCAAACATTCTAACAAAAGAGAAGAGCTGAGTAGAAAACCAGCGGGAGAGCTGCATAACTGAGTGCATGCTGTAGCCCATGTACCTTTGCCTTCATTTGTTAGAGCAAAGTGTATGTAACAGAAATTATAAAAATTCAGTTCTGTTTTTTACAGTGGAAAAGGTATGGATTTTTTTTTTTTTTAAAGATTTTATTTTTTCCTTTTTCTCTCCAAAGCCCCCCAGTACATAGTTGTGTATTCTTCGTTGTGGGTTCTTCTAGTTGTGGCATGTGGGACGCTGCCTCAGCGTGGTCTGATGAGCAGTGCCATGTCCGCGCCCAGGATTCGAACTAATGAAACACTGGACCGCCTGCAGCGGAGCGCGCGAACTTAACCACTCGGCCACGGGGCCAGCCCCCGAAAAGGTATGGATTTTAACATTAGATAGACTATTACTCAACTCCTACTCTACTAACTAACTAAGCTGGATTATTTTAGCTAGCTTCTTACTGAGCAGAAGCGTAGTTTCCTCACAGCCATTTCTAGGATTAGATGATACAGTCATATGTCACTTAACAACAGGGATTCATTCTGAGAAACGCGTTGTTAGGGCAATTTCGTGTAACATGTTTGCACTCAATGTGCGAACACTGAGTGTCCTTCACAAACCTAGATGGTATAGCCTACTACACTCCTAGGCTATATAGTACTAATCTTACAGGACCACCGGCATACAGGCAGTCCATCAATGACCGAAAGGTCGTTATGCGGTGTATGACTATATAGTGGCTGGAGGCATGTGTCAGATAATAGAATTAAATCATCAGTCTGAGAAGACACTGATTCTCCAGTACCACCTCATCCTCAGCCTAAGGAAAAACGGTAAATTAGCTGAAATCTAGCCTTACCTTCCCCTTTCCAAACCTTCATAAGCAACTTTTCTCAAAGGGGTAGAAACCTGACTCACGCAGTGGTAACCTCTACCAGTAAAACAAAGCCATTTAAACTGGAGGCAGAACTACAAACGAATAGACGTGTTAGTCCCCAGTACATAAGGAGATTTGGACTATCCCCTCTTCTGGACTCCAAATAACCAGACCCTGTAAATTGGGGGACAAAAAAGAGGATGGCTTCTTTGCTTGCTTGAAGGACTAGAAACAAGAGGACAATCAGTGTTAATGCTGTAAGACAACTAAGGGAAAGGCTCTTTTCCACAGAAATATCTGTCCTAGGCTGTTCTGTCCTTTTGGGACTCAAGTTTGATTCAGGCACTAACCTTCTCTCTCTTTCTTCTGCCACTAGAAGTATTATGTGAAAGGTGAACTGGTCTAAAAGCATTGATTTTCCAACTTTTTTGACTGCAACCCAAAGTAGGAAACATATTTACATCCTAGCCTAACACATACACACACACACACAACTTAAATACAATGGGTACAAACTAAAACTAAAACCAAAAACCTTACACCTGTCCTCACTACACATGATGCATTCTGATACTGTCTATTGTTTTCTTTCACTTAAAAAGCAAACAAACTAAAAACTTTCAAATTGATTTCATGAGCCCCTCACTAATGGGTCACAAATCCCAACTTGAAAAACATTGACCTAAGGTATGTGGAAGCACAATGGCATAATAAAATATTGGGGGACATACTAGGTAGACACAGAAATTAACTTGCTTCCATACCATAAATTAGTGAAATGGCAAAAGCTGAGCAACACGTATATGTTTAGCTCTTAAAAATAAAATAGGATGCCAACAACTTCTTCAATTACACCAATATTGCCTTTCCCCAAACCTGGATCATCCTGACTTTGTTATGCTGATGAAATTCACTATAAATATATCATGACTTCCACTCTCAGCAGGCATCTCAATGTTGCTGGGTAATCTTTTTACTCTTCCCTTTATGATATATAAATCTCACCTTGCCTAACATCCCCCTCAACATCTACCTTTTCACTTGCTTTCAATGTGCTTTCCATTTGCCTCAGAAAAAGGAGTGTTCTTATCTTTCCTAAAATTAACTTCCCAATTGTGTTCCACTCATTACTAATACCTTCAGAATTTGCTCCATCTTCTTTTATATATATATATTTTATATATATATACTTATTTTATATATATATATATATATTTTAAGATTGGCACCTGCACTAACATCTGTTGCCAATCTTTTTTTTTCTTTCTTTCTCTTCTTCTCCCTAAAGCCCCCCGGTATATAGTTGTGTATTCTAGTTGTTGAGTGCCTTTGGTTGTGCTATATGGGATGCTGCCTCAACATGACCTGATGAGCGGTGCCATGTCCGCGCCCAGGATCTGAACCTGCCAAACCCTGGGCTGCCAAAGCAGAGTGCGCGAACTTAACCACCAGGCCACGGGGCCAGTCCCCTTTTCTTATATTGACTTGCTCCCAGTTGAATATTTCATCTCTTCCTCTCTACTGGTTCCTTTCTCTGTGTCAAACATGCCTCATGTTTTTTCTCCCTCGATACAAAACAAAACAAACCCAAGATGTCTTTTTCTCAAGCCTGCTTTATCCTCAACATGTCTCCTTTCTCATACTCTTTAATACCAAAATCATGATAGACTAGGCTTCACTAGTTTTCTCTTCTTCAACATCACACCTCCTTCTAGTTCAATCTAGTTAATCTAATTCCAGCCTTCATTATTATTAAATTACTCAAAAAATTTACAAACGCTTTCCGAATTGCCCAAATGCTGACCATCCTGTCATTCCCACATCCCTTCCTAAAACAATGACTCCATCATACCATCACTTTCTAAATTACTGTTTATAAAAGACTTACTATGTGATAAATATAGTGTTAAAACACTTCACATGCTTGATCTTAATTCCAAAAAAGATAAATTTTACAATTGAGTAAACTGAGGCTTCAAGGTTAAGAAACTTGTCTTCATGAAAACTGCTAGTGAGTAGCAGAGCTGAGACTGAAACTAGAGCTGTATGTTGTCCTGTCTCTGATTCAGATATGTTGATCACATTCTAGGACTGCCATCAGAAGGACTTACCCATACCTCCATCCGCTGTGTAACCAACCCAAAAGTCAAATTATCCATTTCTATTTACTTCAGTATTAAATCGCCTTTACAAACAGCTCATAAAATTAATGAACAATCACTTAAGTTTTGAAAAAAATGTTAGAAGCAAAAAAAGAACAAAGGCAAACCTTTTTATAAAAATATAAACATACCTATTATTTGAATAGTCCCCAAGTTAAACTGAGATAAATAGATAGTGGCATAAACAGAGACATTTAGAAAGTAAACTGTACCTTCTGAAGAAAATAACTTTGAAAGCTCATAAAGTTGTTTGTTTTCACAATGTTTGGGCAAGTTTTACAACAAAACATTCTAGTAAAGAGTGACTTCATGGCTGGTGGTCCTGTCCACGTGCTCACCATTGAATTTGCAATCTGCAAACAATTAGAAAACAAAGTAATTTCCATCACCACTGCAAACATATTTTAAAATAAATAAAACAGATTTCTAAAAGTTATCAATACAACTGGATTAGTCTTCAACGATTTCAATTTTCAGAAATTTAATACATTTTGGCCTTTCATTATCATTTCCAAGGAAATATACAAACTCACACCCCCCAAAAAAATTCTTATGTGCACTTATTATTTTCTATAAGTTAATTTCTGAACGGGAATACTCTTTTATGTGTTAAGACAACATCTTTGCAAAAGGCTTCTATTCTGAACAAGCTTGTCTTTGTCAATTTAGGCAGACATAATTCTATTTAAAATTTATCAAATAGAAGCATCACCATGGATTTTAAATAAGGTTTTTCAATCTACCCCAACTGAAAAACAAGCCAAGCACAATGCTACCACTGAAGTCTGTAACAATGTTTTACAAAAAAACCTTATCTTGCTACTGATATTTTTTGTGTATACAAAAATCATGTCTCAAAAGAAGGAAATTATAATTAACTTTAAATAACATAGTCTAATTTTATGGATCTGCTAGGGATTTAGCATGCAAGAATCACAAAGATCTTTATAGAAGCAATGAAAGTATATCCTTAGCAGATGATTATCAAACATTCATGTTTTCCCTCAAGTATCTGGAATCTAATTACTCACTAATTACCATCAAAGATAAAACAAATCTAAACCACTATAATCTGAGGAAATGTTGGACAAATGGATTTAGCAGTGAGGAACACAAGAGAGTCACTAAATGGGAATGAACCTATTATCAAGATGCTCTTTAAATACCTGGATACCAGTATTTCTGGCCAAATTTTTGTCTGCGTTTTTCTGCTTTTCATTTGTTCTACCTTCAGTTTTTTTGCATCTAAAGAAAAATATTTAGTTTTCTTAATAAATTAACTTCTCTAGCATGTTAAATTATAGAACCTATCATCTTAAATTACACATCACTAATATTGATTACTCAGCCCAAACTAACATGAAATAATCACCACAGCGAGACAATTAAGACAAAATGCTTTCACGTACTATAATGTAAACATCTCTCAAACCAAGGAATTTCTTACCAAATACATTCTTTGCTTTAAAAACGTGACTGGCAATTCAATAAAATGGCGAGAAATTCTCTTTGGTTTGAAAAATTTCACTTTTCAGTTTGACAATCAGAAAAATTTAGTGCATATCTATGTTCAGACCAAAACATGTTTCTTTCCAATCAGTCTTATTAAAAGCATTTGGTAAAAGCTTTCAAAGGACCAGCTACTAAGTAAAATTAAAGATTATGGAGAATCTTAACTTATCTTCAGAGATTTTTTTTTTTTAACTCATCTTCAGTAGTCATTTTGTTTTCCTTCTACCATACAAAATCTCACCTTTGCAAGGCAGAAGCAAGCTGCCATTCTTACTCGGTAGAAACACTGCTCTTGTTCTAATATGTCAGTGAGGGCAAGCCGAGATGCCGGAGTAGGGAACTTTTCCAAGGCCAAAATGGACTCCTGCTGTGCAACAACATCCCTCTCATAGCGGAGCTGATACTGCCACATAAAATCAGCTTGCTCAAATTCTACTTTCCTCAATACTGCCATATCTGGGTCTATCCTTATCCACAGCAAAGGAGAATCAGCGCTGAAAGAAAATACGATTTTCTTTGTTATTTATTTTTCCAAGTTTAGAGATTTATAAAATAAAAACAAAGCATTTATTAACCAGATTCTCTTCTACATGTAGTATTCAACACTGCATGGAGTTTTACTGCACTCATTTTTTTTTAATCACACTGGCAACTTTCTCATTATGTTTAATATACTTCAATTTTCTCACAATGTCTAATCTGTATCAATCTTGCTGGAAAGATCTCCAAGGATAAGAAGATAATTGTCACAAAGAAATTGCATCTGAAAGTATTAATTTGTGTTTCTGATTTGTGATTAGTGATGTGAAAAAGGAGAATGAGACCAAATGTCTTTATTTCACTTCCTACAGCCTAATAATTGATTGTGGCTATAAATGCCACTCTTTATTGAAAATCAATCTTTGACTAAAAAAGGAATTCATTTATTTTACTAAATCAGTTTGTTTAATTAACACTTTTTTTTAAATGCTAGACTTATGATAACCCCTACAAACGGCAAGTTCTGTAGTAGTTTGGAAGCACATCACGAATTTATCCTCACATACTTCTCAAAGCAACAAGCACAGTTTTAAAAACCTAGTCTATGTCAACACTTTCATCAAAAGACCATCACCTGAAATATTAATTCAATTCAACAAATACTACTGGGTACTTACTATAGGCAAGTTATTTGATATGGAAAAATTATATAAATGACATATAAATAGTAGTGACAATTTGGCAACCAAGTTACTAAATAATTTCAGATGTTTTCTAAAGAACATACAGACATAGGATAGACAAAACACAGTTTGAACTATATTATATTTAAAAATGAAACACTGTCAATCAATAAATATTACCACATAAAACTTAGAAAGTGATATTTAAACTGTGTTTTGCAAACACAGGGAGCTCAAAGTGCCCCAGAGCCTTGTCAAAAGACAAACAGAGTCAACATCACCTGGGAGCTCATTAGAAATGCAAACTCTCAGGACCCACCAGTAAAGTGCTGGATCAAAGATTGTATTGTAAGAAGATGCCCAAGTGACTGACATGCATGTTACAGTTTGAGAAGCACTGCTCCACAGGCCACCAGGGGAGCAAGAAAGCTACTTAAGCCAAGGCTGTGCCCAGTCCAACCATCCTGTATTTCCTCCTATTTTCACCTGGGCCAGGCTAGATTTACTTTTCTCTCTTTGATTATGATTTTATGTAAGATTTGTTTTTTGGGGGGGTTTTTGGCTGAGAAGATTCACCCTGGGCTAACATCTGTGGCCAGTCTTCCTCTATTTTGTATGTGGGTTGCAGCCACAGCATGGTTGACAAGTGGTGTAGATCCATACCCGGGAATTGAACCTGGGGCCACTGAAGTGGAGCGTGCTGAACTTAACCACTACGCCACTGGGCCAGCCCCCTCAAAAGTTTTTTTAAAAGCACAAATTTCAGGACATTTACATAGTTTTAGATATGCATGACAAGACAAATGAGAAGGCAGAAAAGTATTATATCCTTAAACTTAAGTAACTAACTTACTCCATTGCAGAAAGATCCATGTCAACTTCTTCTCCATTCATCAGTGGAATTTTTTTCTTTTTATTCCTATATTTAAGGAAAAATAAGTTTCAAAACTGTGAGATTTCCAATTCTGAAAGGACATAAAGAGCAGTATCAAATTAAGGACTTTATGCAAGACTGAAAGATATCTTAAGGAAAAAGGGATGGTAAATATAACGGAATTTAAATACAACACAATCTGTATTTTGAAGCAGAAGGGAATGAAGTAAATGATATTAAAATGTTTTTCTGATCAAAGTTTAACAAAAAAGCAGAAATATATAATTAAATGTCAACTTAGAAACAGTCCCAACAACAGGTAGCTGCAGTTTTATATAGAAAAGATAAGAGATCTATCAATAAAGAAATCCTTTACAAAAAAATGAAAAAATAGCCAGGCCTGAAATGAGACATGCATAACTCTGAACTGTGTGCTGTATGTGCAAGGTGCTATCCTACATGAAATAAAGCAAACGATTAATAAAACATCTTAACAGTATTAATACGTACAATTAATTACTATGCACAAGACTTAAGCCAAAACAAAAGCAATTGCTTCCATGCAAATTACTCTTGAATCATAAAATCTACTGGATAACACACTAAAAACCTAGGCAAGGACAAATAAAAATAAGAACAGAGAAGTGTCTACCTGTGTTCCTCATATCAAAGAATACCCAAACAATATACTGTTATTACAGAGGAAAAAAACTGAGGAAATGTTAGGAAAAGAGTAGCAATCAGATGTTCCCAATTTCAAAGATGGAGAGGATACAAAAAAAGGGGAGATTTCATTCTCAACTAAGAAAGAATTTTCTCAGAAGAATGATTCCAGGGAGAGTTCAGAATCAAGTTCTCTGAAGGCCATCAAAATCAACTGACTTTCTCATGTGTACGAGAACACCTAAACGTAGTCATGAGTATACGACTTCCGTTCCTGAAATTGTGATATTAGTCCACATTCCTCCAGCATAGCACAGAAACGTTCTAATTTTTCAATATTTAGAGTACACACTAACAGCTGAGTTAAAAAAGAGTGGTAAAGGAAAAATATATTAATAAAAGTGAATTGCTGGACGATTTTAAAGTAAACTGGCAATTTGCCTTTGAAAGACGTCAAGAATGTTCTGTAGGGGCATGGTGATATATAGAAAAGGGAGAAAGATACTTAGCAAAGAAGATGCAGGGCGTTTCATGACATGTGTACTCAGCTCCTTCTTTTATATTCAATGATCATTTTCTCAATATTCCTGTAGGTATTAATCCAACAAGACAGAATCTAAGCTATTTGCCTTGAACTGTTCCTGGCTCCCAAAAGTTAAAACTTCTATCCCACTGCTCCTACAAAATAAGGCTTCTCAAACCTAAATTTTAAAATTATTTGATTCTAAAGATAAAAATGTCATCAAGAACAGAAAGCAAAGAATGTTTGGTAATACTAACAAAGTAAAATAGAAAAAAAAGATACTAGATAATATATTCTCTACATAAAAAATGAGGTATACAATAGGATTTTTATCTTGGCATTTTAATCTATGAGACTTACAGTTTAACTACAAACTTCAGTTTATCGTTATAAATCAATGCCTACCTTCTGCTTTTGGAATGGCAGGGTATATCATGTTTAAGGCTGTTTTCTTCAATCTGCAATGTATGATTAAAGGATCCATCTAACTCCTGCACTGTCACTTTAAGTGGTCCCTATAAAAAGAAACAAACTATTCAAAGATAGGCTGGAAAAATACCAATATATATTATTATGTGCACAGGTATATATATCAAGATATAAAATAATACTATACAAATTGTGTATCTGGAGACACACACAGAAAGGCAGCTGGTGCCAAAGGAGAGGAGAATTGGGAGAATGTGTGTCCCCTGAAATCTCCATTTGTAACCCCTTTTCCCTTCATTGACACTTGGCGTTTTCTCAGTTTCATTCTTTGCAAACAAAATCTCATTAACAAAATTTCTAAGTAGTTCCCCAGTCTGAAGCCCTTTGTATACTGAAATTGGGGAAAAAGGAGTGCCAATGTCATTTTGGAAAAAAACTTACCACATATTTCTGAGTTCCGGGAGATGTATAATCTTGTTTTATTTCCAATTCTAAAACATTTCGTTTTCTATTAAATGCAAAACTTCCATAAAACTTCACCACTCCACTCTGATCTCTGAAGAATCGTAAAGGAATTTCTGTATATGGAAATGAGTATACACTAAATGAAATAAATTATTCATTATGGTAAGTAGTAATTTTTAAATGCATCCCCATCAATCAAAGGTTGAGAGCATACTTCATTGTACACCAGGTGGCAAAGCACTCAAAATTCTTGTGAAAATGTTTCTCCAGATTTAGAACAAAATTCTGAAACATTAAATTTGTGTTTTGAAAGAAGTAAAACCACTCTAGTGGGTTATTAATACAACAGTGTTCTGAAATGAAAAAAATGTAAAAGTTGAAAAGTTCCAAGATACCACTCAAGTTGTGCCAACCTCTAACCACATCTAAAAGTCACTAGACCAGTACATCCTACAAGTAATCCTACAGGCCTATCTAGTGGATTATTTACCTTCCCCACCATCAAGCCTATTGCCTTATTCACACACACAAAAGAGTACTTCAAAATATGCCAAATTTTACAAATATAGAGGTATGTGTGTGTATCTCAGTAATTAGTAGGCACCTTAGGGGAAATGACTTATAGTTCTCGGTTATTTCTCCTATTATTTAGCAATTTAAATAGGTTTTACCTCCTTTCATCCCCCAAATCCCTCTTCTTCCTCCTTCCCCTTACTCAACTACCTTACTCCCTTCCCCCTCTTTGTTGAACTGCTATTGAAAAGGATACACCCACTGCTTTATTAAAGGCTGGATGTCTTTGCCAGAGACATTTGAGATGGATTTTAAAAACCCAGATGTAGAAACCAACATCTGACTCCACATATGTGACTGGAACTTCTGAGATGAAGCAGTACTAGCCAAACTCAGCAGTTTATTGAAAACCTGTAACGATAAAAGTGTCATTCAGCAAGTTCATATAATGTATTATATATTGCCTTCAATTCTGTACTAAACCCATATTGCATTATAATTTTATTATACTCAATTATAGAGACAATTTCCTATCTTACTACACAGACTGTTCTATTTAAAGACTATGAGAAGTAGAAATATGCAAAGACTTAAACAGAACATAAAACCATTCATCCTATAAACATAATTGAACTTTAATGATGTACTAGCAAAATAATGAATACTGTATTTATTAAGAATTATAATAATAATAATATATAATACTTAAAATTTATTGTGCTATGAGCTTTACATAGAAACTAAACATGATTTATAAAATTGAGAATACTTATGAGGATTTATAGCATCCTAAAAAGTTGACTCGCTTTTTAGGAACCATCTCTCATTTAATATTTCTCTTCTTTACTCAAAAGGTAAGACGAAACACAGAAGGATTAAAGAAACTTAATTTTAGGACAAACTTAAAATGCTTTTTAAAGAAGATTATTAAAAAGCTATTTTTCACTCACCTCTAAGAATGTTGTTGATGGGGAAAAAAATAGGCGAACATTTATAATACATCTGGTTTCTACTACCTCAACTACTATGTCAACTACTTACACCAGGACTTGCTTAAAATATATGGCAGAATTTACCAACAGCAAAAATAAACATCTTTTAGATAGGTTTGCTTTTTCCTATTGAAAACATTTCTAAACAGCATTTCATCCTTAATATTCTAAATAATACCAAACACAAAATCATTTGCATAAATTTTATCTTAATAAGCCTGGACTAAGTAGGTCGAGTACTGACATCCATTCTACATCTGAGGAAACACAAACAAAAAGTACAGGTACTCAATGGGAAAATGCTAATTAGTAACAGAACTCCAGCTATAAACCCAGATGCTCTAACTCCTATTCTACAGAACAGGATTCAGATTATACACATATAGAACAGATCATTTTTTACAGTTATTGTTAAGTTCTTAACTTCAATACTTACTTGTAGCATAAATTCCATACTGATTCTATTTTCAATCAATCTCATCACAAGGTGAGCTTTACACTGAAACATAGTGTAGTATTCCCAGGAGAGTGTATGTGGATGCTTTATTGAAAAGTGTAGATGGGATGCTGGGCTAAAAAAAATACAAATTTAATTACCATAACAAATTTAGATATTAAGTAAGCAATCAATGTCATAACCACATCAAGCTAATAAATCAAAAACTTCACAGGAATACCTCAGCAATTCTAAGCGTAATAAAGACTAGAAAATATCTAAAACTATGCTTAACTGGAAGGAAATTTTGAAGTTTTAAGAAATGACAGAAAGCATAATCTGAATAAATGGAAATACATGTCAAGCTCCTAGTCAGGATGACACAATAATGTAAACAATTCAATTCTCTCCAAAATTCATCAATACAATCAATGCAATTCCAATCAATATCCCACAGCAAAAGCTTGCACAAAAAACATTCAAGATGGACACATATCTAAAACAAAAAGTACTAGAAGAAAATAAAGGAAAAAATTTCTTTTCATAGTTTTGGGATGGGAAAAATCTTCCTAAAGAAAAATATAAAATCCAGAGGACATAAAGACCAGATTGGCTAGGTAAAAATTAAAAATTTCGACATGATAAAAGAGATCAGTACATTAAAAGAAAGGTACAGTCTAGTAGAAAATATTTACAACATATACGAACATTTAAAATGTTTACAATTTTTCACTATTTCAAATAATGCTATAATAAATATCTTTTTATACATGTGCAAGTATTTCTCTATGACAAACACCTAGAAGTAGAATTTCTATATGATAACATACCTAAATGAACAATTGTTGAATCTAAAATTTATCCATTTTAAATTTTGATTGGTACTAGCAAATTACTCTTCAAAATCACTGTACCAAATTATATTCTCACAATCAATGTATAAGAGTAATCATTACATCTCCCTAAAAACATGGCATATTGAAATTTAAAATATTTGTTAATTCAATGTTTGAAAAATTATCTTTATATTTCCCTTATTACTTCTGAGCTTTATGAACTTAAGCGCTTTAGCAATGGAGAGTAATATGGAAAAGGTTAAATAAGTTTCAGGCTATAATGGAATACTGTATAGCTCTTAAATGGAACAAAGTAAATTTATGTAGCGTCACAAAGAATGCTTGCCAAAATATATAGATATGGCTAATTTTTTAAAAAAGAAAAGTACATGGTAATATGCACATTAGTGAACTACATTTTGTAAATGCCATACACACATAAATAAAGGCAAAGAAAAGACAAAAGGTCTGGATGACAATTTACCAAATTAATAATCATGGCTATCTCCAAGGAGAGGAACTGGTTGGGGTGAGGAGCTGTAAAAGAGGGCTAAAAAGGATCTTTTACTTTTTTACTCCACATGCTTCTACATTGTCGTTTGGAACTTCTTCAAAAAGCATGTATTCACAGGGCTGGCCTGGTGGCACAGCGGTTTAGTATGCACGTTCCGGTTCAGCAGCCCGGGGTTCACGGGTTCGGATCCTGGGTGTGGACATGGCACTGCTTGGCAAGCCATGCTGTGGTAGGCGTCCCACATATAAAGTAGAGGAAGATGGGCACGGATGTTAGCTCAGGGCCAGTCTTGCTCAGCAAAAGGAGGAGGATTGGCAGTAGTTAGCTCAGGGCTAATCTGCTAATCTTCCTCCAAAAAAAAAAAAAAGCATGTATCCATGTGCTGCTTTCATATATAAGTTTTAAAATTAAACATATAACAAGAACTAAGCAAATGGGCAGAACCAAGGTAAAAGCATTTAGTGCAAATAATATTTACATACAATGAGAATGCTCTAATTATATGCTGGGAAACTGCCATACAGCAGGAAGTCAGGAGAAGAAGGCAAAGGAACCAACATTTATTGTGTACTATGTATGAAGCTTTGTCTCAAGTAATCCTCACAATCAACCTGGTTAAGATGAATCATCACTGTCATTTTACACATTAAAACACACACACACACACTCAGAAAGGTTATGCAATTTTCTTAGATCACCAAAATTAATAACAATAAAAATCCAAGTTTATCTACAAAACAACACCCCACTAATTGGGAAAAAATATTCACAAGTTATTTATCCGACAAAAGGTTAATCTCCATAATATACAAAGAACTCACACAACTCAACAATAAAAAATCAAACAACCCAATTACAAAATGGGCAGGGGACACGAACAGACATTTCTCCAAAGAAGATATACGGGCGGCCAATAGACACATGAAAAGATGCTCATCATCACTAATCATCAGGGAAATGCAAATCAAAACTACACTAAGATATCACCTTACACCTGTTAGAATGGCAAAAATATCCAAAACCAAGAGTGACAAATGTTGGAGAGGCTGTGGAGAAAAGGGAACCCTCATACACTATTGGTGGGAATGCAAACTGGTGCAGCCACTATGGAAAACAGTATGGAGATTCCTCAAAAAGTTAAGAATAGAAATACCTTATGATGCAGCCACCCCACTACTGGGTATCTATCCTAAGAACCTGAAATCAGCAACTCCAAAAGTTCCATGCACCCCTATGTTCATCGCAGCATTATTCACAATAGCCAAGTCATGGAACCAACCTAAGTGCCCAGCAACTGATGATTGGATAAAGAAGATGTGGTGTGTGTGTGTATATATATACACACATACAATGGAATACTACTCAGCCATAAAAAAGGACAAAGTCGTCTCATTCACAACAACATGGATTGACCTTGAGGGTATTATGTTGAGTGAAATAAGCCAGACAGAGAAAGACGAACTCTGTACGACTCCACTCATAGGTGGTAGTTAACATATAGACAAAGAGAACTGATAGGTGGTTGCCAGGGGAAAGGGGGGTGGGGGGAGGGCACTAGGGGTGAAGTGGTGTACCTACAACATGACTAATAATGATGTACAACTGTAATTTCACAAGGATGTTAACTTTTATAACCTAAATTAAAAAAAAAAAAGAAAAAACAAATCCATCAAAAAATACCCCCAAGTTTATCTAACACTAAATTCCTACGATTTCCCACTGACTTAATCTTGTCTCAGGGGCCATGATACAACAAAGAAAGGCTTCAAGGTTCTAAACCTTTGTTGTGCTTTTAGACACTTGGGCAGTCTGGTTAAATGGGCTCCACCTGAGAAAGTGCTCTAAATGCACAAAATAAAATATACTGGGTTACAAAGGAAACCAATTATAATGAAATACAGTTACCAAAATATAAAAAAATAATATATGTGCTAGTTTATTAATGCATTAAACAATAAGATCTAGTACTGGTCTACCGCCGTAATTTTGAGGTAGTGATGACTGCAAAGACTATTTCAAGATATCTGCTAACAATTATAATGTGACAGGAAAATATCCATGGTTTCTACTGTTGACAAAGTCACAGCACTAACTTTTGCCTACATTCATATTTAAAGGAAATGTAAAATTTCAGTTAATGGTTAGTGAAAATACAGAAAAATTTTCCCATCCATTCAATCCCTATTCCCTTAGGGGATCTGCAGACCCCAGAACAAGTAAGAATCCCTGCTAGTACCATTGTTGTGTTATAAGTGGCTGTCTCATTTACAGCAACTTGCTAAAAACAAAAAGAGACTAAGCGAAAGAGAGAAGGGAAGGAAGGTGAGAAAGAAAGAAAAGGAAAGAAGGAAAGAGTAATTAAATAAGTATCTAGGTAGGTGACCATTCAGATAAACAGGTATAGGTAAGATGTCTTGATGCTGAAACTATCTACTGAGACTTAAAAAAATAATCAGTAGTACATAAACAAAATACTTGTTTCCACTATTTTTAAGCTTTTATGAGAATAGTACAATATAGTAGCATTAGGATATTTAACATGGAAAAGAGAAAAGCCTTATATATTTGAGTCTTTTTTTAACATTTAAATCCATTTATAGTCATCGCATTTAATAAACACAGTAAAGTAACAAAAGGAGTAATGAGAATATTGCCAGGGTTTGTGGCCTCAATATTACTACATACTGTTATTACTACTTTCTTGGCCTGTGTGGGCCTCAATACACATACAAATGATCCGAAAAGAGTGATCTCACAAAACAAGGTTTACACTATCATCTCTGAACAATAAACATACTTATCTTTCTCTTTTCCTCCACCAAATATGGGATGTAGTAAAACTCCACCAGTTTTTAGTTCATACGCCACTATTTTGTCCAGTTCCTAAAAAAAGGCGGAAAAATAGGAGTCAGTGAAAATATTTTTACATATCAAATTTTAGAAGTGAACTGTGATTTCTCATTTCCTAAAATCAGAATGTAAATTTCCTAAAAAATAAACGAAATGTATCAGGAGAGTAGTTTGCATTCTTATAGATGTAAAGCAGACTATACAGATGCCTGAATGACAAGAGCCAAAAAGCCTTCTCTACTTTGTGACTTCAGGGCTGGCCAGTAGCCTGGCAACTTTTCCTAATGGCTCTTCCCATCCTCTCTGACCTATGTTTCAAGTTTATTTCTTCTTTCTCTATATTTTGCTTCTGGTGGAGGATTTAGGCAAGTAAAAAGATAGAGAGATAAAATTATGTCAGGAATCTACCATTTTAAAACCTCTCCAGTCTTCCCTAACATGACATAGATCAAAGTAAAAAAAAGTTTAAGTGAAAAAAAGACAACACAACTGTGTTGGAAACTCATGACTAGTTTAAATAACATACCAGCAGTACATAGAAGTGGTAAAAATCACAGTGAAGTGGTTAAAAGCCAGGTTTGAATCCTAGCTCTACTACTTATTAACAATATAACTTTGGCCTAATAACTTAACCTCTCTGTGCCTCAATTTTCTCACCTGTAAAATGGGGATAATAACAGGGTAGTGAAGAGGGTTAAGAGGGTTAATATTTATAAAATGTTTATAACATTGCCCAAAACATTATAAGTGCTATATGTTATCTTTCCCCATTAATTAATAGTTTTGGAAATGAAGAATGGACTCTTCCAGTTCTAGATGTATGAATTCTTTCACAGTTCTAGATGTTTGAAATCTTTTCCAATTACCTTTTTGCTTACTTTAGAGTTTAGGTTTGGATGATGAAGATACACAAAATGAGAAAAGGGGAAGATGGAGGGGTCTACTTAATGAGGATATTAAAGGCTGAAATTTTTCCACCTGAGAAGGAAGCAGCTAAGCATGATATGATTAAAATGTATATGTATCTGAACACAAAGGGCTAGGCAAAATACAGGTTGACTTTCTCTTTTTGGTCAAATCTTTAAAAAACAGGAAAAAGATGTGACAATGACAGAGAACATAAATACACTGAAGACTAGCCAGCACATAATAAGCACTAACTACGTACAAGGCACCATGCACATCACATGTGTGATGTCTCACAATTCCTGTCCATGGTGTAGATACTACCACTCTTACACAGATAAGGCTTGGAAAAAATAACCAAAATCACAAACCTTGTAAATGTATGAGGCAGATGGAAAAGCAATCTGACTCCAGAATCTGGGTTCTAAGTCTAAACAGATTTAGGAAGCAGAAAATTACATTAAAAATGACTACTATGGGGGCCGGTGGCATAGTGGTGAAGTTCACATACTCCGCTTTGGCAGCGTAGGTTTCTCAGGTGCAGATCCCGGGCACGGACCTAGCACCAGTCATCAAGCCACGCTGTGGTGGCAGCCCACATAAAACAGAGGAGGGTTGGCACAGATGTTAGCTCAGTGGCAATCTTCCTCAAGCAAAAAGAGGACGACTGGCAACAGATGTTAGTTCAGGGCCAATCTTCCTCACACACATACACACACACACACACACATGACTACTATGAGGAGCTGGGACATATCTAACAACTAACTTGATATTTAAGGAGCTTAAACATTCTCCTCCTCAGCAAAAATGTCTTTGGAGGCCAACAAAGACAATGGAAACTAGATAAAACAGACTATTAGACTTTCTCTGTAAAGCGATTCTCACTTTGCTGGGAAAAATTAGAAACTTTCAAATGACAATAAGTATTTTACAATTATTAAAAATAAAGGACACGCAACTTGGAAGTCAGGAGAATACTAACATATCTTATTGACTTGTAAGTGGATAATGGATCTAGCTATTTTTACCTCTTTAATCCAATGGCGGTATTCGTTAACACCGAAAGTTTTTTTCATCCAAAGTCCATAAATATAGCCTGAAATTCCCTTCAGTACCCATTCATCAGACCTAAGCGAAAAGTCAAAACATAAACTTTGAATCATAAAAATTCCTCAGATAAGCCCAAAGAGGCTAACAGAAGAAGCATAGTATGTTCTTCTCTGCCTTCTTAAATTACTTGGTTTTCTCACTTCCTCCAACTAAGTTCTACTTGTTCTTTCATTATATCTGCTTCACATCTGGCTTCACTTTTAATTATTAGACTGCTTTACAATCTTATTTCAAGCATAATGTACCTACGTTTGTGTTCTGTTCTGGCAGTGCTGCATCCTTCCTGCCCAACTCTGTTCATTACTGTCTGCTTTTAAGGAAATACTTGCCCATAGCCAGGACTGTACTGCTCAATTTTTGAAGTCCATATTCTATTACTGCCAATTCCGCGCATAATTATCAGTGGAACTGCAAGACCTAAAGTTTAATTACTTATTTTTTGGTTTCTCAAGAAGAAAGGCAATCAACACCACTCATTCATTTATTCATTAGTATATTTATCAATTCAGTCATTCAAACATTTTGCCTAACGTTCCAGGCACTATTCTTTAAGAAAACTGCGTAATTCTAGGAAAATTACAAAGCAAGAGGCCTTACCCTCTGCCGTCTCCCCTCTAACAAGAAAGAAAAATAAACCAAGATTCATCTATCACATATAGCACAGAATGGTAACAATTATAAATTACAAATCATAATCTCAAGAAGTTTCATCTATTTCTTCAAATTCACCTCAAGTTAACCAAAGAGGAAAGAAAATAAAAAGTGTTCTCTCTCTCATCTTTGAAGAAAATTAGTACAAGGCTAAGCACTAGCAAGAAAATTCCTACATCACTATTATAGAGGACCATTATTTTGCCTTAAACATTATCTTGAACATAACCAATTACACTGAACATTGATGTTAGAATCAAACTATAATTTTCTGTATATTCAAATCCTTATACCCGGAGTATTTATTCAGTTTTTTTAAGAAATTGTTGCTATCAAAATTCTTATCTTATTCTTATTGCAAATTGTGGAACTGTGTATACTGAACTCATGGCCAAAAATCTTGGATGAAATTTATACTCATTATTTTTCTTTAAATATATATAAACTAGTGTCTTTTAAATTAACTACATGCAGTTAGGACAAAGGTCAGCTTACACTGTCGGAAAAAAAGAAAAATAACCCTTCTGTATTCTTTTTCTCAGTTGTTGTAAACCCTGAAATTACTCACCAAGACATTCTGGATATGAAACATCCAAAAAACTGCTGGGCCAAGGACTGGGCTAAACACCTTCTGGTCAAAGGTGTCTCATCTATAATCATGGCGCTGTGTAACAGATTTGTGCTGCAATTGAAAAGAAGAGCCAGCTAATTATAACTGAGAAATAAACAATTATTCAGCCAAAATAAAATAACCACACTTTTTTTTTATTGTAGTAACATTGGATTATAACATTATATAGCTTTCAGATATACATTGTAATATATTTCGAATTCTGTGTAGCTTACATCATGTTCACCACCCCAAAATTAATTATAGTCTCTCACCACACGTGAGCCTAATTTGCGCTTTTGCTCTCTCCCCTCACCTCTTCCCCTCTGGTAACCACCAATCCAATCTCTGTTGCTATGTGTTTGTTTGTTGTTGTTTTTATCTTCTACTTATGAGTGAGATCATATGATATTTGACTTTCTCCCTCTGACTTATTTCACTTAGCATAACACCCTCAAGGTCTATCCATGTTGTCACAAATGGCTGGATTTCATCATTTCTTATGGCTGAGAAGTATTCCATTGTGTACATATACCACATCTTCTTTAACCATTCATCCCTTGATGGGCACCTAGGTTGCTTCCAAGTCTTGGCTATTGTGAATAATGCTGTGATGAACATAGAGGTGCATGTATCTTTATGCATTTGTGTTTTCAAGTTCTTTGGATAAATACCCAGCAGTGCAATAGCTGGATCATATGGTAGATCTATTCTTAATTTTCTGAGGATACTCCATAATAACCACACTTTCAAAATAATGGAATTCAAGTTAGACACAAAAGAGAAAAACCAAAATATTCTCTCAAAGAGCTTTCACAACTTTTCCAATTTTAGGTGAAATCCACAATCTTAATTGCTTAAAGCAAGCAATGCAATGTTTCCTATTGATTTCTATGGAAAATATAAATATCTCTTTTTGGGGTTAGGGGAAAACATCACTAATCAGAAACTGATATATTAATCAGAAACTGATCCTCCTATGAAGGGCTCTTCTAATTTCAAAATTCTTTTCCTAATAATAACTATTAATTTTTTGTGCTCTATTATTTCCTTTCAAATATACTGACCAACTGGATCCTGGTAACAACATTCTGGAGAATGCAGTAGCATATCTTACAGATGAGAAAATTTAGGCCCAGAAAAGATAAATAATTGATCTCAAGACATAAAGCTTCTAAATTTGGAACTTTTCAAGGAATGAAAGAAAGAAGGGAGGGAAATAAAGAGGGCAAAAAAAGAAAGAAAATAAAGCTTTCCTTTTTTTTTTTTTTACAAACAAATTTCTGACAACAGCAATAAATTTTTAAATTGTGCTAGGAAAAAAACCCCACTAGATATCCACATAACTTGCATGCTTTTTTAAAAATGCATATGCAGAAAAGAGACTAAAAGAAATATGTAAAATATTAGTATCAGTTAATTTCAGATGAAAATAATGAGTCTTATGGGTTATTTTGAACTTTTCTTCATTATGTTTTCCTACATTTTTAAATTTTAAAAATACTAGGTTTTCTACAAAGCCAACCATATCTAAAGGGAAAAAGTTCAGAACATATCTTAAAATTGATCATAACATAAATAACCTGTCTTCACATCAAACCCTAATATAAGCATTTCAAATTTGAAGAGATACCGACCTAAAAATGCTCATGGAAGCATAAGCAGCCACTTCAACATAAGCCTCATCAATGAAGACAGTCTTAAAACAGGAGTATGGATATCGACACGTAAGAATTTCTTCATAAAATTCAAAAACTTCATGAAGATATGACGTGGTATGTTTAAGCAAGGGAAGAAGTTGAGGTAAACAAAAATGAGTAACCTAGAAATAAAAAGCAGGGAAGATCATTAAATGAAGGAGTTAACTTGAATATTTTGAATTTCCTAAATATCTCAATTATAAAGCTTCATATAAATCCTTTTTTTTTTCTTTTTACAAATTCATGGCACTGAAAGAAAATGCTAGCGTGGAATTAGTGACTACTTTTACTTACTACAAAAGATTCATTGTCCTTAAAAATTAAATTCTTAAGGATTGCAAGTCTGTGAAATAGTTAGATCCAATGAAAATACAACTTTGGTTCCAAAGCAAACAAAAATTTTTTCTCCATAGGTACACCAAACAAAAAAGATCTAAATTTCCAAGACTTACTGTAAATCTACCTTGGCATCATAAATATCTAACCTAGTGAACACTGCAAGTCAGAGTACTATCCTAACATCAATGTAAATCATACTATCTTCACTACATAGAAAGAACAATTACCGCAGTCCTCCTTTAATATCTTAACGACATAGTGAAAGCTGCAGGGAAGCTTACTGGTAATGCCGGCAATAGAAATGGTCATTTTGATTTCCTTACAACATTACATCCCACCTTGGACACAGACACTCAAATACCACATACTGTTTCATTGTCCCATATTATGATTCTCTGCCAAATGAATGGCAGCAATAATGACAAATCACTCTTACTAGAATGACCCAGTAAGGTTTCATGCAGGAGACTGAATTTGAGCTAATCTTTGTGAATTGGACAAAAATTTGATACGCAGGGACAGGAAAAAGATATCCCAAATAGAGTCAAAGCTAGGAAGAAATAGAGTATGCTCAGCAAAATCCAAGTAAACTATATTGAATATAACAAACATAAATAGTAAAGTAATGGGGAAAAAAGCTAGAAATACTAATTAATTCGGGTCAAATTCCAGAAGATCTTGAAAACCATGCTAAAGAGTTCTGATCACTACAGGATTGTGGAGGCAAGGAAAGTTATTAATGCATCATAAAAATTATTCTTCTAACAGCCTTAGGAAAGAAAAGATTAGAGACTACCATAAGTGAACAATGAACATCTATGTATTATTAATGGTCAGGGCCCAAACTGTATTACAATTAGCACTCCTCTTGGTACACAAACAAAAAATAAATTAATATTCATCAAAGAAAAGATCTGCTTTTAGACAAACCTACATGATGGCAAATCTACTGATAATGCAGTAAAAACTACTTATTTGAGATAGAGAAAGACTAAGTCATGGGTTCTAAGTATTCAAGAAAAATGCTTCTTGACTATCATTTACCTTTCTCCCATCCAATGGCACAAAGTAGGAAAAAAAATTCTTCCAAATACAAAGTAGATACTAACCAAATGTTGAATTTAAAGTTGATCATTTACCAAAAATAATAAAATTCACAGCCAATCTTATCAGTGAATACACTTTTAAGAGTCATTGTCAAGACAGCAAAAATACCACCATTCATAAAATATCTTGAATATTTTGCATGAGTGATTTTATAAATCCTGTAAATTTCAGGAAAGAAATTAGAATAACAGACTGGAGCGCTCACTGACAGTCTAAACACAGCTGCCATCAATTTTTGCTTGTTTTTTTGAAACAAACACAAATTTTTGAAAGAAACACTGTTGAGATATACCTGGTCACAATATAAGCTTTACATTAAAAAAAGAAAAACTAAAAACTAAACCTAGTAAAATTGAAAACATAAAGGACTAAGAGTAAATGAGAAGAGGTTCATTCAAATGTTAAAGATGTACAGGAGCCAAGAGGATCAATAACCAACGAATTCCTTTCTAACCACCAGAAGTCTCATGCCTGGGGAGGCCTAAAAGCACTATTTGGACTATGAATTGATATATGATTTGTGGCAAGATAAGGGACGGGAGGAAACCAAAAAAAGCCTTCACGAGTGTGTTGACCACAATTCCAACCTTGTCTCAGCCTTTTCTCTTGTCCTCTGTATATGCTGAAGTGAGAACAAATCTTGCTCTTTAATTCTGAGATTACAATATTTCAGATTCCAGAGATGGAATCTCTGAGACTATAACATTCATAAACATATGCTGAACAAAATGATGACATTAATAATGAACAGAATTAGTTAGAGCAATCAACCTATACTCTAATCAAAGTATACTGGAAGATCTTTTGGACTGCTAAGCCCTTTGTTGAAAAAAATCTGAAATTTTAATAAGAAAATATTTTGAAAGGAATTCATTCAAGAATTCAGATCATTCAATATATCAGATAAGGAAATCTTTTCTCTCCAGTGATATTTTTGATAGTTGAAAGAAGAGTTAAGAAAAACCTAGTATTCCATTAATATCCTTCTTTTTATCAAAGCGTGAAAGGGTGGGAAGAGAGAAGGAGCAAGAAGCTACAATTTACCTCATGCATATATGGATCTACAAGTATTTCAAAAGGTCCAATGGCCAAGGAGATATTTGATGCAGCTGTTGGAATGGTAAGCATGTAATGGAAGGTCTTCTTCCTCATATCATGTGTGTACACTGTCTCCACCAAATCTCCATTGGAAACAGCCACCATTGCAGCATCTACTGTAAATTCTAATTTCCATGTACATAATTCTGAGTATGAATCAACACATGGGAACCAAAATCTAGAAAAAAGACCAACAGTACAGAAAATACGTTGAAAGTATAACCTACACTGCTCTCCTCACAGATAAGGTATTTTAACATTTATAGAATATGTACAAAAAGAAACTTTAGTTATTTGCCTGCTGAAGCTTTTTTACTGTGCAACTTGAAAGAATTTGAATAAAGATAGAAACCTGTCTCCAAATATTATTTGGCAATATTAAGAAAATATATCATGTGGTGCCTCCAGTTCAAATCCCAAAAAGTAAGACATTCTTAGTTTCCAATATTTAAATTAAAAATAATTTTCACTTGTCTATTCACATTAGTCACTTTTTACATAGCACTCATTTCCAGAAACTAAAAAAGCTTATAATAAAGCTTTAAAAAACACAATATTCAGGACCTATTCAATAAGTCAGTAAAGTGCTTTTCTGGAATATGTGATACATTATACAAAATCAAACAGTGCTGGTAAATAAAGCCAGTCATAAAATTTCTATTCAACCTTCTATCAACTCAGCTCAGGTTTTATGATGCGCCAGGGTCTGTACTTGGTACCAAAACATAAATAAGTACAAGACAGCATCCCTGGCTTGGAGGAGTTAATAATCTGAGTAGTATTAATAATAATTTGAAGAGAGTATGCATATTATAAAATAATATTTCAATAACATGTAGTGAACTATAGAGCTACGAGAATGAACTATAATTACAAACAACAATGAAAGTAAATCCCACTACCACAGTGTTGAACACAAAAGCCAGATATAAAAAGCATAATGCATACGCTTCCATTTATAAAGTTTAAAAACAGGTGTACTTAATCCATAGTATTTCATAAATCAGGATAGTGGTTACCCTTGGGCAGGAGGATATTAGGTGGGTAAGTAGCAAATGGAAGTGGGTGGAAGAAAGAATTCTGTGATGCTGGTAATGTTTTTCTTTATGTGACTGTGAACTACATGAGTTTGTTCACTTGTGAAAATTTATTGAAGTTTCTATTTACAATTTATGTAATTTCCTGATGTTGTTTTACTTCAACATAAAGTTAAAAAAATAAGAGAAAACTGAGATGATTTTAGGAGAGAACAGAAGGAAGACATAGGATTGAGGAGGAATAACTAATGCAACAAGATTCAGAAGAGGTAAAAGAAGCTTGGGGATCAAGCTCATATTTCTTATTTTATACTAAATACACGTATTGCATACATAGAGGAAAAAGTGCAATTTAAAAATGAAATTAACTGCAATATATAAGAATTAATAATCTACCTTGTGGAATTTTGATACCCACAAGAGAAAACATGAGCACCTCTCTCTGCCATACTTCCCTCTACACTGGGTACCACAAAATGAAGACCTCCTTTTGGCTGATCCAAAGAAAAATTGATGTGTATCTTTAGGACCTTTAACTCTGCAACAAATAAATATACAAATATATTGATACACAAATATATAATTAACAGTGGTCTATAACAAGGGCAAAGACAATGAACATAAAATGGGTATCAAAGGCTGAGTTTTACATGAAAAACCACACTACTTACCCTATCTTAGGCTTTCATCATCTCTCTACCTACATTAACTCAATAGTCTGCCTCCACTGGTGTCCTCACCGCCACTCAATTCTAGTCATTGCTAGCTGTGTTCTCCCAAAATATAGTTCTGGTCATGCCATATCGTCCTCTCAACAGTTTCTGACAGTGCTATACACTGCCTAAAGAAAAAAGCTCAAAACTACCACATAGAACACTTAAGGACTTCCAGATCCAATTCAAAACTTACTTCCAAGTTTGTTCTCTCATTACATTCTCCCACAGATTGTTAATCTAGTTGACTTCAGGGAGTAGGAGAAGGAGTAGGGGGTGGGGTGGGTGGGAAGGACTATGCAAGAATTTACATTATGTATTACTTACTGTTATGTTTGATTTTTACATAATATGTGTTGATTTCATAATAAGATTAAAAGATGTTTAATTTCTCCCAAAATGTTACAACCACACGGACTATCTCCAGTCCCTTAACACGCAATGATGATCTTCCATGCCTGTCCCCTAAATTGGGCAAAGCCCCTTCCCCCAAGAAATCCCCCCCTACACACTAATAACTACCAAAAAAAAAAGGAAAAACATAACAAAAAGTCTTTTACTTTCTTATCTTAGTTAATTTTTATAAGGCTAAATAAAGGTAGGCAGAAGGTTACATATAACAATTATAATAGCTGCTACTTTATACAACAGAAAATGAAGATTCAGAAACAATCAGAGTATGCTCAAAAGTATACAGAGTGGGTGTTAGGAACCTTATGTTCTAGCCTTGACTCTACTACTAATTAGTGACCTCCAGCAGGTCACTTATTCTCTTTGGACTTCAGATTATTTTTCTGTAAAGCAAAGAACTGAACCAGATGATTTTTTAGGATGCTTCCTACAATAAAATGCTATAATTCTAAACTAATTTGATATTGTGTGCATTCTCAAATCTTGACAAATTGTTCCATCCATCTAACTTTTTTTTTCTACAACTTTCATTTTAAAAACAACAGTGAAATAAATTGCTCTTTGTCGCAGCCCTTGATTGCTATTTTCCTGTTACCCAGTGATCCGTAAGGAAAAAAAGAGGTTCTAACTCCTATATATTTCAACTGATTAATTTACAATTTCGATATCATTAATTTTCATGTAAAAGTTTCTAGTCACTAGATCTAACATGATTTTATTGTCCACTCAATATATTCTTAGTACTTTACCATCCACGTGTTTCCATAATTCTGACGGAACCTTAATGCAAAGTTCTCCATTTCCTGCATCAGGATCCACAGCACTAACTGCAGCTGCATAAGCATTGGAAAAATAATTGAGATTTCTCCTGGGGGAAAAAAGAAGCCACATATTTTACCACATATTTTCTCAAATATTTAGCACCACTTGTTTGTAGACATTATATCATCTTACATAATTCATAAGAACGCTTTTTAGCTACGTAACTGTCGCTCTACTCATCATGACAAAAACTATTAAACTGTAAGTACAACGGCATATATGGTCCACTTGCCGATACTACGTAAATATTATCACATTCTTCATTAACTTTGGAACGCCAAAGCCACTACACTTTCCTGATACAAAAATAAAGAAGACATGTAGAATTGAAGAAATAATTATTCCTTGTCAATCTGGCAAAAATTTGAATGGATTCAATAAGCTTTATAATCTGACAGAAACTAAGCTGTTTAAAACAACTCAGGATGGGACTCAATTCCTCAAAATGTAATACTGTTCTCCTTTACTCCCCAGTGCATGGCAATTTAAGCTTAATGAAGGAGGAGACCTTTCAGCTGGTTCACTGTTATATCCTCTATATGCCAGGGGGTACTTAATATTTGTTCAATAGTTACTTGGACTTATTTCCTATTGGATGAAAACAACACACACAAGTCTTATGGAAATATGAAAACATTGTTCTCATCTCATTTTGTTCTGGAAATCAACATAACGTTCTGAAAGTATTTAAACAGACTTCTCAGTAATTTTAACAATTTCTTTCTGTAAAATAAATATGTAAAATAAAAGGTGTAAAAACTCCAGGACCATAATAAAAACAGATAACCCTGTGTTTTCACATACCATGCATTTTTTTTAAATTATCATAAGTAAAAGTAACTTTTTTTCCTTTGGTATATAATTCTATATTCTTTTAACACATATGTAACCACCACCACAATCAGGATATAGAACAGTTCCATCATCTCAAAAAGTCCTTTGCACTATGCCTTGTGTCAAATAAATGCAATTATACAGAATGCAACCTTCTGAGGCTTGTCTTACTCAGCATGTCTTTGAAATTCATCTAAGGTGTCACATGTATCAATAGTTTGTTCCTTTATACACTGTATTCTATTGTAGAGACTGTACCACAGATTATTTATTGTTTATTCATTCACCCACTGAAGGACATCTAGGTTGTTTCCAGTTTTTGACTATCACAAATAAAGCTGCTACAAACAATTCTGTATTAGTTTTTATGTGAACTGAATTTTCATTTCTGTAGTACAAATACCCAAGAGTGGGTCTGCTGAGGTGCATGGAAAATATAAGTTTAGCTTTATAAGAATCTGCCAGGGGCCAGCCCTGTGGCCGAGTGGTTAAGTTTACACGCTCCGCTTCGGCAGCCCAGGGTTTCACTGGTTCAGATCCTGGGCACAGACATGGCACCGTTCATCAGGCCATGTTGAGGTGGTGTCCCACATGCCACAACTAGAAGGACCCACAACTAAAATACGCAACTATGTACTGGGGGGATTTGGGGAGAAAAAGTAGAAAAAAAGAAAAAAGAAGACTGGCAACAGTTGTTAGCTCAGGTGCCAATCTTTAAAAAAGAAGTATCTGCCAAACTGTTTTCCAGAATGGCTGTACCATTCTGCATTCCCATCAGTAATATATAAAAATGCCAGTTGCTCTGCATCCTTACCAGCAATTAGTTAACATACCACCTAATTTTAAAGACTTTGTACACCTATACATTGCAATTTCTTTTCTATAGACTCTCAAAACATAAAATCTGAAAGATAGCTGAAGAATCTGTAATTTTCTCCCAGTTATCTGTGAAATTCAAAAGTAAAAAATAATCGTTACACAAAAAAACAAATTTAAACATTACATATTAGACTGCTCAGGTTTTTTATGGGAAATTATTGTCACTTAATCTCCTCATTTCCTGAGAAAAGGTAATGTGGTCCAAATAAAATGGTGAGTCATTATAAATGGAATCTATTGGGAAGTCAGTTATGAGAAACAATCTTCTCATGGTTTGGATTTCAGTGTTTCCTTTCATAATACGAATCAAATATGTTTCCTTTCATAATAACCTCACAAAAGCCAAAAATTACAAGGCAAGATTATAATAAGTGTTTTCAGTTTTCAGAATAATAATGAAAGCAAAATATTAATGCGCTCTTGACCTATGACCACCACCATCGCCAACCCCCAGTCCTCCTCAGGAAACAAGGCTTAAACATGAGTAATGCTGTAGGGGATACGGAAAAACTGGTAAATCAAGGCACTCAAAAGAATTTCTCCAAAAATCTATTATAAACAACAGCTTGACGTAACAAAGAACTTTCTAGCATTTAGAAATAATGAAAGAGGTGCTTTAAAATCCAGTGAGCCCTCCAGAGCTGGAAGCATTCAAGTAGAAGGTGGAAAGAATAGTACAGGAAAAATTCCTGTTGAAGATTTACTAAATGAACCCTAATTCCTCCAAGTATGACAACTTAATTCCAAGCAATACTAAAACAACTGCCCGTGAGACATTGTGGCTGAGTTAAAAGATAAAACTATACATATTACTTAACCATAATCAATAATGGAACCAACCACTTTTATTATGTTATCAGTAAAATAACCTTTAAAATCCCTTTGTTGAAGTTCGTATTAAAATATAAAACCTAGAAAATCGTCAAAAAAAAACCTCACCAATTAAAAAAAATCAATTCTAATCACTCTAAAAAGATCACTCTAATCACTCGCTATCTATTTCATTTATATCTTAAGACATCTTTATTTCTACTGCCATTCCTTAGTAAAAATGAAGACAGTAGACAGGAATTAAACTGACTCTTAGAACTTTGGAAAGTTGAGACTTTTCAGGCAAAATAAAAAAGGTCTTCTTGAAGTGGCAAAGCCTATCTAGGAAAGGGAAAGAAACAAAGACGAAAGAAAGATGTCAGCCGCTGTAGGCTCTCCATCCACAGAAACAGTTTATCTGGCAAAGTCTACATTTATATTATTCTAAGATGAGACAAATGCAGCAAAAAAAGAAAAAAAACAAAACACCAAAGAGCCATAGCTCCTATGAAGGAAAACTATAATCCATCCACAGTATGTAAGATCCAAACACAAAACATATTTGGAGAAACAAGTGCTGCAATAATTCTACTGGCAGATAATAAGTCAAAGAGAGAGAGAAGCCTTGTTCACATAACCAATAGGATTTTTAATTGCTAGTACAGATAATTTAACAACTCAGCTAACATTTAGTTAGATATACAGGTAGACATGCCTTTTAGTCTCTTATCCAAATGTTTCTCTTTCTTGCACTCCCCCTACAATTTAAAAGTGCTGAATCTCAACCAAGGTAAGCACACTCTTTCCATTATAAATAGGAGAGCCTGGCATGGCACCTTAACTTTAAAAAACAAAGGAAGAAAACATGATGAAGTAGTATATTACTTCTTTGAATGTTAGGACATTCTTGTATATATTAAAGATCAAATTTTTCCGCTGAATTTTAAGTTTAACGTTCAATTTCAAAACTGCTATACTTAATTTCTGTTTCAGCTTTAGTGGAAATTTTATTGGTTCATTAAAGAAAGTAAGTTACTTGAGAAACAAGAAAGGTAACAGACGTATCTAAGGACAAGCTAAACACCTTAACAATCTGCCTTTCCCAAAGTTCCCTTCGAAAATACTGTCATCCACAGAGATATTTTTCACATCTAACCGCTAAGAAAAGCAGTATTTCTTCTGAATAATTGGTATGTTTCTGTCTTGTGTCTTATAAATCTTATAAATGATAGTTTCCCTTTTTGGTATGGCAACCAGAAATATCAAAACCAAACCTACAGTTTTCCTCTAACAATTGTGGAGTAACTTAACAGCGTGCACCCACTATTCTATACTTTTTCACCCTTTGTACCAATTTCACTACTAAATTTATTGTCTAATAAAATTCTAAAATTTTTCTCAAATTCTCTTTTGAACAAGTCAGAGAATAAACACAACAGTAAATAACTAACGTCATCCCTCTTAAAAGTAATCAAGATTCTAGAGTTAGGCAGAAAAGCAGGGGTGTCAGCAAATATTTACTAAGTGATCATGGCTAACAGAGCTCTCCTTTTAGCTGGAAAGAAAATTTAAAATATATTTTACCTCTCCCAATTTCCTAACCTAACCTTTGAAAAAACTCTCCTTTATGACTTCCTTTATTTATAACACTAAAAGTGATGAGGCATCTTCCCTATTACTAAAGAAAAATTTTAAGGGATATCATCACTCAAAATAAGCATAGCATAGAAAAGCTTGCTTCCTCGACAGATTTGGAGTCCACTGATCCTGTCACTGCATTGTCGTAGATTATCTTCTTTGAGACCTGAGCAACAAAAACTGCTAAAGCAGATGTGCCAACACTGTGTCTTGTGACTGGCAGATGGAAAGGCTTCTTACCCTGTCACCAAACGCAGAGCTCTAGGCTCGATACGGCAGCCAAATTGCCCTTCTGGCAAGGCACTGGCTCCCCAACCTGCTCTTTTACAGGTGCCTTTCCCATTTATTAGTGGTATTTACTTACTCCTCCAAAGGCAGATGACTTTTTTTTTTCCTTAGGAAAAGAGGATGTAGATGGTTTTGTAATAAGTCTTTTTATGTCAGTTCTACAAGTGTGGCTGTAAAATCAATGTAACTCACCTTTATGAAATGGGAAGTCATAGGAGCAATTCAGAGATTCCCTGAATTTTTCCAACAACATTTTCTTTTTTTTTTTTCAAGATTTTATTTTTCCTTTTTCTCCCAAAAGCACCCCAGTACATAGTTGTATATTTATAGTTGTGGGTCCTTCTAGTTGTGGCATGTAGGATGCCACCTCAGCATGGTTTGATGAGTGGCGCCATGTCCCCACCCAGGATCCGAACTGGTGAAACCCTGGGCTGCCGAAGCAGAGCGTGCAAACTTAACCACTCAGCCATGGGGCCAGCCCCATCAACAACATTTTCTTTTCTCTGAGTTTGAAAGATTCTAAACCAGATTATTGGGAGCATAAATATGTCTAAAGATAAGTCTCCTTTCTCCACACTTGCAATCCCTTAAGGCAGTGGTTCTCAAGCTTTAGCTTGTATCAGAATCATGTGGCAGGACAGTTAAAACACAAATTGTAGGACCCTGTGCCCAGTTTCTAAGTCACTAGGTCTGGGGTAATACTTTGGAATTTGCATTTCTAACAAGTTCCCAGGTGATGTTGATGCTGCAGGTCTGGGAATCAGACTTTGAGAACTGCTGCCTTAAGGCAATATTACACATCTGGACCAGTTAAAATACCATCTTGACTAAAGAGTTTATAGTTTACAAAAAAGAAAGTTTATAGTTTGGAACATTTTAACCTCAAACACTGAGAATCACAGAAATGATACAATCAATGCTATCAAAGCTTTGAAAAAACAAATGCCTTAAAATACAATATTTAAATCAGTACAAATCTTACTGGGCACAATCAAGTAAAATGGTAAGAAGAGCCATAAGAATGATAAATAATCCTATATTCCTAAGAAACAATTCAAAGGAAAAAAAAACTTAGCTGAGCCAGAATATTCACTCAACATTACCTATGCCCACAAAGCTGGAAATTATATAAATGCCAAACTGAAAAATAATCATGCAAACTACAGTATACAGAGTAAATGGACTATTTCCTGACCACAAAATAATAAAAAATGAAGCCTCTCATAATACACGGAAAAGTGGAAAGTATTTAAATGAAAAAAATAGAACATAAAACATCACAACAATATATATTTACTGATAAAAATCAGAAGTAGCCTCAATAGACGCAATATTTATTTAAAGCGAAGGAATGAGATATTTCAGGCATAATATTTTTCTATGATATTCTAAAGTAGTCAAAATATTTTATAGAATTTTTAAAGTAGTCTCTGGTCTACAGATTATGGTGACTATCTAACTCATCGAAGATTACACTTAATATTTATAAACTAAATACTTTTAAGAAAACATTAAAAGTAGAAAAATGGCTAAGAAAATTTATTTAAAGTTCTCCGATAAGTACTGCCTTAAAAGTGTAGTCTGAAGAAGGGAAACTTAATAACTAACTATGTTGGGTAGAGCTACTAAAATTCTTAAACCAAATGTGCAGAGTGGCAAAAGCAACAGAAATTATAATTAGAAAAAAAGAATTAGGAACCAGAGTCTAATAATAATCTAAAAAAAATCTGCTGGAAAATTAATCTAATCACATGAAAAATACATAACTGTTAGAAATATTGGCTTTTAAAGTATATAACTTACTGTTTTGATTCATTGTGACAAACTTCCAAGGTTGGATCATTATAAATAAAAGCAGCTTCTAAATCATTGATCCTTACTCGGTATATTCTACACTGTTTGCTGTTCAACTTGATTCTATTCAAGTTTGCAACTGTGGGAAATATAGTCAGTTCCACAAATCCCTGTAAAGATAAAGAATAATAACTTCATTACAACTAAGACTGGTATGTTTTAGAACACATTTCTTTGATTTCTACTACTTATACACATACCACTCCAGAGACAGAATCCCAAATAGCTACATACATACAAATGCTCTCCAAGTATCTTCATTTCAAACACAGTCGTCCTAATGACTGAACGGGTGTGAATTATGCAAACTTTATCATGCTGGTGGTTCACATTCACTATCAGTGAAAATTAGGCCATTTGCTAGAAAAAAAGTAAAAGGACCCACTACTCTCAAATATAAGAATTTGTAGACACAGTGGAACCAAAACAGGGATGAAGGAAAAGAAAATGACAACAGAAAGAGAATCAAAACCAGGTGAGTGAGTGAAAGGACATGCTCCCTAAACAGGGTAAAAAACTACAATACGAAAGCTAACAACTATGTGTGTCTGCTCACAGAGGTAAATCAGGACATGGGAAGAAGTCAGAGCCACAAGAGACACGCAGGCAAGTAGGGAAAATCTATTGCTGCCTTCAAGAGCACGAGATACTTCAAAGTGCTAGATGATTTCCTACAAAATAGTCCCAGAGGCCATATATTGTTCTACCATGTTAGCAGTGTGGTGAGCAATGTCTACGAAGCATGAACCAAAGACATGAGAGACAGCTAAATACACTGACTGCCCACCACCCTCTTGTGTTGAATCAAATAGGAAAGATGAACCAATGAAACATGGAAGATAAGCCCAGTGAGTTTAATACCTTAGGTTGAAAACTGGGGTACTTGGACACAAAATATTGGGAGGGCATGAAATAGTAATATTTCAGGGGCTGCAAAGTGAACAGAAAAATTTCAGAGGCTCTAACAGGAATATCTAAGATGAAACTCAGGCAATAACCTTAGAGGACTAGATGATAACAATTTATAATGGCTACTATTTAATGAGCACTACTATATGCCAGATATCACACTCAATATTTTCATAAATTCTCTCTAATCCCAGTGACAACTTTAAGAGATAAGTACTCCTTTATACTTTTTACAGATAAGTTAACACAGTTGAGAAAATTATATCATTAATAAGTGGAGATTTGAGATTCAAACTCACATCTAAATGATCCCAATTGATTCCCACTATACCATAATTTCTCTCAGTAAAAGGCTTTTAAATAATAAATATCCAAGAATCTTTTTTAGATAATATTCAGCCCAACTACTCAAAGGCCTAGAGATTCTGCAGCCTCTTTCCCCTCAATTTCCAAATAAGAGGAGAGCCATACATCCTTAAACTAGACCACTGGACAGCTCTATATGGAAGCAAAGGAGAACAAAGAGCAAAGCCAAAAAACCGTTGATGAAATCTCTGCGTTAAAAGCTACAAACTGTGAGCAACGTGTAGGGAGGAGGACCCAAATTCCCTTGATTAACCTATCAGCTATCCACTGACCAATCTACACAAATGAACTTGGATCAGCTGAAAGACAGCAAGCAGAACCAAAGAATGTCAAAAGCGAACAAAAGATTATGGAAAGTGCTGTCAAGAGTTAGCTACACAGGTTGAACACAAGAACAGGATTTGGCTTTCTAAACCAAGGTTAATAATAATACAGTGAATGGAGTGTCTTTCATGAAGATGGGAAAAGCCCAGTCTCCTTGTATCATCAGGTCTCTGACACCACCTAGAGCCCTAACCTAAATCTGCCCGCAGCATTGAGACCCAATGACTGCCCTCCAGTCTGTCATCCTTAGCCACTGGCACAACTGCAAGCCCCTCAGGTCATCTAACCTCTCACTTTCATCTTCTTGCTCTCTCCCCGCCACTTCACAACTGACCATCCTCCTAGAACCCTTGTCTCATTTTAAGTAACCTCCCCTGTGCCACTTAACCTTTTCAAAAACTCCTTCTCTACCTCCTAGCCTTAGATGAAATGTCCCTTAAATCCTCCTTGACAAGAAGCTACTTATTCTTTCACTCACTAGAAATTAGACAAGAGGGAAACAGGAAACCTCCTAGTTTCCACTGCTACTTCTAGACCATTTACAGGATTTTATATAGCATACACTAAAAGAACAAGGGCAGTATAGTTATTGTTAAATAAATGTCTTCTGGAGGTAGTCTGGTTGCATTCAAATCCCAGCCCCACCACCAAATATGATCTTGGGCTAAGTTACTCTAGCTCTCTGTACCTCAGTTTCTTCACTTGCCTCAAAACAAGAATAATGACACTACCTAACCTTTTGGTGGTGTTACAACTACTGAGCAATTTAATACTTGGAAAGCACTTAAAATCATAGCTGGCATCTAGTAAATGTTTTTATTACTCTTTTCCTTTGTGTTCATGCCATACAGGTATACCATCCTCTATTCCTCTTCACTATTATCTCCCAAATTCCCCAACATTCAATGAAGGCTCATACTCTTCCTTTCCAACCTATCTCTGCCACCACTCTAAGTGACCTGAATGTAGATAGATCTGATCCGTGCAGTAACAATGCTTCAAAGCTCCTTGACTTCTAGTCCTATGATCTTCACTTTCACTCCGGGACAGCAATCAAGATCACACTCTTTCTGAAAGACACCTCATCGCTGCTCAGAACTGCTCTGATGCTGACATTTTAAAGTTGAATGTCCACAATGTTTATCCCTTTGTCCCTCATTATTTCTCTCCCAGTCCTGTTTAACCACATGAAATTCTGTTCCTTGACTTCCTCCAGTTTCTCACTAGAATCCTTCCTGGCACTTTAGGGGCTACTTTCTTCTCCATCCACCCAAGATCCTTAACTTCAACCACTCTTCTGCCAACTATCAATTCCCTTCCCCTTCTGCTACACGTACCTACCTTTTCCTCCTGTTTAAGAATTAAGCAGACTTCCATAAGAGCTAGAAGCCAGTATCCTCAGAAATCCTGCTCTATTAATTACCCTTTCCTATAATTACAATCTTCCTCTCTATAGGATTTTTTCCTTTGCTTACAAACATGTTCAAGTCTCACATATCTTTCTTTTAAAATCTTGAGACCTATGTCACTCTCAAATTAATTTTTGCCCTCCTCCTGGAGTTACTATATCTTGGTTCTGAACTGACATTAATCCCTGGAGTCCCAAAACATCACCATAGTTTACTAGTCAGACTGGAAGTCTTTAGAGGTCAGGTAATAGAGGGGTTCACAGTCCAAGTCTATCTCAGAGCAGGACTTGTGCTTAGTTCCCCAGTCCTAGAACATACAGTATATATTTTAGTAATTGGCAAATCCTCATATTCATTCTCTTACCATTGGAGTGAGGACTATTATGGAAGAACGAAGCGGACACCACTGGATCACTTAGTAAATCAAGATAGTAAATCACAGCAACTAGACATCCCTTGGGGAATTACAAAGATTAGTGCCACCAGAGATTTGTAAGATGCCTACTACATCTTCATTTAGTTCAATTATTTTGGCCAATGCAAAAGTCAAGTAGGTTTCGGGGAATAATGGTCAATTATCACAAATTTGCCAATCACAACCATGTTTGCAGATGCAGTATTTTTACTGCAGCAAATCAACACAGCTCTTGGTAACGTGCATTCCACTAATTATCAAGCAAATGCTTTTCCCCCCAATCCTTATCAGGAAAATACAATCAGAAGCAGGTTACCTTCAAGACAGCAGAACCCCTTCACTATCATCTAATAACTAATAACTATATCAATTCTTCTGCTCAGTCATACTCCCAAAGTCCCTTGATTACAGGATAGCCCATAGAGAACTATACTGGAATATTACATTGACAATATTATGCTAACTGGACCTGGTGAGAAGGGAAAAGCAAGTTTTCTAAACACCTTAATAAACATATGGATGGCAGAAGATGGGAATTAAATCCTATGAATGTTCAGGGGTCTGTCACATCAATAAAGCTTCTCAGGTTCCAGTGGTCTGAGGAATATAAAAACAGACCTTCTAAAATGAAAGATAAGTTGCTTCATTTTGCACTACCCACCAAGGTGGGAAAAAGAGAGGCACAAAACTTGGTGGGCTTCTTTGGATTCTGGAAGCAATATATACATTCAGGCATACTGCTGAGGCAACCTCTAAGGTTATGAGTTTTGAGAGAGGTCCAGAGCAAGAAGGGTTCTGCAGCAGGTCCAAGCTGCGGTACAAGCTGCCCTGCCACTTGGGCCTTATGACTCAGCACATCCAATGGTATAGAAAACATCCACAGCAGACAGAGATGCTTTATAGATTCTGGCTTTCTCCAACAGAATGACAGTGCACATTCCAAGGGTTTGGGGGTAAGGACATGACCTCTTCTGCCAATAACTATTCTCCATTTGCAAAGCAACTACTGGTTTGCTACTAGACTCTGCAGTTCAAACTGAACACATGACCAGAGGAATTCCAAAAACTATGTTACCTGAAATGGCCATCATGAACTGAGTAGAATATGAAGCTCTGAAAAATAAAGCTGGGCATGTGCGCAGCTTTCCCCTTTTAAATGGCAACAACACATCAGGACCAAGGCCAAGCAGGTTCATACGGCACAAGAAAACAGCATGAGCAGGTGACTCAGAATCCAATGGCCTCATGGAAAGTTACCCATGCTCAGTTAACAGAATAGACAAAACACAAGCCTGAATTACGAATAAATCTGCACAGGATGCTGGCACCAGTTGCAAGTGGATGGTAGCTGCCATCAGAATCCCACTCAAGTGTGGTCCCGAAAGACAGTGGAAGAAAATCCTACAGTAGGCTGAACACTGGGAAATACATCTGGTTTTACACTCTTTGTAGAAATAGAGATCGCCTAAAGTACACATCTACACTGATCCATGGGCAGTTGCTAATGGGTTGGCCAACTGGTTAGAGGTTTGGAAAGAACGAGATTAAACAACAAAAATAAGAAGATGGTGGGAGATGTAAGTATATAAAAGGATTCCTCAGAATAGGTATAATATGAAAATATTCATGTTATTATCACATAAATGACCATCAGAGGGCATCCACTGCAGAGGGGGCCCTCAAAAGTCAACTGGCAAGATTATCCAGTAGATGTCATAGACTCTTTCCATAGCCACCCTGCTCAATATACAAAGTGATCATGGTGGCAAGAACGGAGGCAATGCATGAGCCCAAAAACATCATCTTCCTCTCACCAAGGCTGATCTGGCTGCCACTACTGCTGAGTGCCCACCTCCCAATAGCAGAGGATCACAGTAAGCTTCTAATATGGGACCTTTCCAGGAAGGATCAGTTAGGCAGTTGGTAGAGAAAGGACTACATTGGACAGTTCACATCACCGCAGGGGCAGTGATTTGTCCTTACGAGAACAGACACATGTTCTAGATTTTCCTTCCCTAACTACAATATACTTACAAAAAGCCTTACATTTCATTGCAGGAGTCCATACATGCTCCCAACCAAGTGTATGGGGAACTGTGGCAGTGGGCTCCTAAACACAAAATTTACTGGTTTTATCTTGTGCGCTATCATCCCAAAGCAGCTGGCAAAAAAATTGCTGAAGGCTGTTACAACACCAACTGAGAGACCTCTAACAGGCTATCTTAAACTAGTGGACAATATATAGGGTTACCTCTCCATTGCCAAAATAGATCTGGGAACCAAGCTGGAGTGACTATTTTCACTATGCCACCAAAAAAGCCCTCAAAGAATTCCTGCCTCCTGTCTTTGTGACCCGGGTTCAGTATATTGGGAGGTTCTAGCAGCCATGGAAGGAATGCATCCATCAGCGCACACAGTCACGCTTCCAATAAATTGGAAGATGAGACTGTCCCTGGACCACCACTTTGGGCTCCTCATCCCATTGACCCAATAGGCAGAAAAAGGGGTCACTGTAGTAGCTGAAATGACTAATCCCAATTATCAAACAGGAATTGAGGTTCTGCTATATAGTAAGGACAAAAACTACATCTGGAATCCAAGGGATTCACTGGAATGCCTCTTAGGTCTCACTAGACTAATAGTCCTAGTCAATGGAAAACTGCAACAACTCAATAAAGACAGAACAAGCAAGGATGCATATCCTACAGGAGTGAAGGTCTAGATCAGACCAAAAGAAATGCTGGCAAAAGAAAAGGGAAAAATGGAATGTGTGGAGGAATAAGGAAGCTGTATATATCAACTAAGACCCTGACACCAGCTAAAGAAAGCAGGGGCTGTAGCAATTAAGTTTCACATTCTTTTTTACCCACTTTTCTTTCCAGTATCTTGTATGAAAGATACTAGTGGTAGCTGATATTTTAGGCAGGAACAGTGCTGAACAGCCATTTCCTCACACTAATACATCAGTTCAGGGATCAGCAAAGTTTTTCTTAAAGGGCCAGAGAGTAAATAGGCTTTATGAATACACAGTTAGGCTGTGTTACAGTTTCTGCCACAGCTACTCAACTCTGCCACTGTAGCTCAGAAGCAACCACAGACAATATATAAATAAATGGGTGTGGCTGTGTTCAAATAAAACTTAACTTACAAAAAAGTGTAGTTGGCTATTGCCAATCCCTACAACAGCTGATAGGACTTCGTTAGGTCCCTTACATTGGAAACACCAGTTTTTCATCTCAACAGAAGACAAGAGAGGAAGATTTGGGGCAAAAGGGGTAGACTCTTCTAGATATTCTCCTTTTGCCCCTCCTAATCCACTCTCAACCCTACTCTGTATCCCAGGGGTTGCATTAACTGAGCACCAGCCCTCTGGCTTTCTGGTTGGGTTGGTCAAACCAGAGACACAAAGAGGAAACTGAAGAGCAGAAGGAAATCAAGTTCATTATATTTATTCCCCCAAGTTCCTCTCCGCCAGGCTGAGGCAGGCGGTAGCTCATCTTTCTACTAAAGGCCATAGCTCCTGTAAGGTGACTCTTTCTTACAGCTACAGTAGGCTCTGGTAAACTCTCCCTTCCTTTGTTCTTTCAGTTTAGCAGTGGTAACTGTTCCTTGTTGCTAACCTAGGGGGCTCCTCCATCTCTTCATCTCTCTTAACCCTGTTTGTTCTAAGTAGTTCTTTCATTACTTCCCCTTAATTAATGTGCAGGAATGTGCCATTTGTTTCTTTCTAGGATCCTAACTCATATATCACTTAAACTTTTCCAGTAGGAAACCTAAAAATCATCCACGTGGATGCTCCTTTCTAGCATTCCCAGTAAGAGTCATCTGCAATTCCTTTCTATCATTTTGCCAGGAGTAGAGGAGGTGGAAAGCGGGAACAACAGACAGAAAGAAGATGCAGATGACTCTTAGGTCACCCTTGATTAAAAATGGCTCAATCACTTGCTAACTTCACGGCCTTAAGTAAGTTACTTAGCCTCCATTCTTAACCACTGAACCACCAGGCTGGCACCTCTGCCTCCATTCTTTCAGCTGCTTTATTTATAAAAACAAGGATTAAAATAATATCTACTACATGAGGTTATTGTGAAGATTAAGTTACTTAAGATTAACACAAAACCTTAGAAGATGGTCTTACATGTAGTATGTACTTAATAAATGTTCACTGTAATTCAGTCAATCATGTCAACTCTATTTCTATGTCATTTCACTAATGATATCCTCATTCGGGGTTTCATCATTTCTCCCCTAGATTATTAATAGGAACCCCTTAACTAGACTCCCTAATTCTCCCATATCTTCCTTACCCAATTCATCAACACAACACCACCTAAACTATCCTTCATGAGGTACAAAGTAAATAATCATATGTAAGGAATATTGAAACAGAAACTCCTTAAATGAAGAGAATGCACTTAATGAACCTTTAAGGAGTCTTATAAATCTAAAATTCTATGATTGTTATGAAAAGGTTACCTTTTTTATCTGTACAACTCATCTTAGGCAAACAATTTGAAAGGGAAGTTGATGACATCACTCAAAGAAAACCACCTCTCACTAAGATTTTAGTCTATTTAATACAGTTTTCGCTCAGAGAGTAAATTAAATACTTGGCTTATCAAGGACTCCCCTAGAATGGATTATACAGGAAATCCATTCATCTAAAAGGCGGGGGGAAGGGTTATGAGATTTCAAACACCTTATCTAAAACTTCTCTACAAAGAGACGTCACCTAAACCAAGTCAGCCAAGATCAGAAAACAAAACTAACCTCTTAGCGGCCAAGTTCAGTCAGTGTGTGCACTAACCTTAATTAACTTTTTCACGGAAGAAATCTTCCTATGGGCTTATTCTTATTTTATGCACAATTCTAAAAAGCTTGGTAATAACAACTTTCATATTCCACAACAGAGTATAAGGAATCAGATTCTAATCCGGAAATAGAAAACAAAAAAAAAGGTAAGGGAGAATTAAGGAGGCAGCCAGTATTATAGTAACAAGGTCATGGACCTTGGAGTCATACAGATCTGAATTCAGATTCTTACCTATTCTTGAAATACAGTTATCCGGAAAGGGAAATTTCAAAGTATTGTAAAGGTGGACTTGTCACTGCTCACAACTGTTGAGAATATACTTACCACAACAGATTTTCTCTGGAAGTTTATGTTGTTGATGCAGACGACCTGATGGGTTGTATATAAAAAAAATACAAAAACAAAATAAACAAAATATTTCTATTATTAAATGAAGCATAATTCTATGCAAGTCTAAGCAAGGACTGTGCTCTAAGCAGCTCAAAATCACATTTTACCTTTCATTTTAAAATCCTACAAACTGGGGTAACTTGTTTTAAATTGAGCAAGAAGCCATGAAAATAGAATTCTTTGGACAAAAATATTAGTTTAGTATTTTAAGAAAAAGGTTTCATACCCCGCAAGGGGCACTAAATCTGTCGACGAACACTGTCAATCAAAGCATTTCCGCCCTACAAACACCACTTCCAACACAGTGAGAAGGGTCTAGTTTCCCACAAGGTTTCCCAGGCCCACCGAGTCAGTTAGAAACAATCACAACATATAATTCAGGAAAACAAACCCTGGAAGAGGAAAAGGAGATGAAAAGATACTTATAATTTATATGGCCTGGGGCTTTCAAAGCCCTTGTCTCCTTTCTTCCTGTTCATTCTGGCGGGCTCGAGACCAGTCGGCGGCATGAAGCGACCCCGCGGCCCTCGGCTTCCCGGCGGCCCGGGGGGCGGCGGGGCATCCCCGGCGGCCGGCTCCTCACCCTGGCCGCTCCCCCAGCCTCTCAACAGTCACGCCCCGCCGCCGGGGCTCCCGCTGCTCCCACGCCCGGCCCCGCTCGATCCGCGGCCGGCGCCTCAAACTCGCGCCCCGACTCGGCTTCCCTCAGCCGCCCTCGCCGAGGTCCTGTCACGGAGATGCTCCTCTCGAAAACAGTTCACAGGGCCCGTCAGCCATCTTGCCTGTCACCTCTGACCTCCGGCGTCAGCGGAAGTGGGTCGGCGAAAGGGGGCGGAGCCGGAAGTTTTGTGTCGGGGGCGGGGCTTACGCGGTAACATTGGCGTTTTGTGCCTCTCCGTATGTGTGCAGTGGATGAGGGCTGTGCAAATTTAGAGAAGCCGACGCGAATATTTACTGGGTGAGTTGAGAAGAGCAGGAAGGAAAGGAGGAAACATTTACATTTTGGAAGAGTAAAGGTCTGGCACAAGCACGTTGAGGAGTATCGGGACAAGGGTTGGGAAGTCCAGGACTGGGGAATCCTAACTGGGCAGTCTCCTGGAAGCAGGGGGAGGGGTGTGCCTCTGGTCTGCTGTGAACAGACACCGTAAACTCACTGGACCCCAGTAATTTAAGCAGTAAAATATGTGATTAGACCCCAGGTAGTCCAACTCAAACTAGGCACTGCTGCCTCAGTATTTATTTAAAAAATAGTAATAATCCACATAGATGCAGAGAAATTTATTGAGAGACAGGACAAATTTTGAAGCCATGGTATGTGCATTTCATGTGCATGAGAATAAAACAATTGTAAGTAACAGTTAAATCTTTGTTAATTAATTGTGGATTATCCATCAAATCTTTTTTCTGTTTGGCAGGGGAACAGTTGCCCTAAGCTAACATCTATTGCCAATCTTCCTTTTTTCTTCCTTTTAACTCTCCTAAAGCCCCAATACTAGTTGTGTATAGTTGTAAGTTCTTTGGGTTCTTCCATGTGAGCTGCAGCCCCAGCCTGGCTACTGACAGATGAGTGGTGTGGTTCCCTGCCGGAACAAAACCTGGGCTGCCAAAGCAGAGCTGGGTGAACTTTAACCGTGAGGCCATCAAGGCTGGCTCTATTAAGGTCATTTTTAACCTTGGTCTGGATTTAACTTTGGCCTACCCTTTCAAACTGTCCTGGTGACAAATTCATTAGCTAAGTTAAAATTAATATTGGCCTAAACAAAAACAATTAGTAAAATAAAATTATGAAAGAACTTTATCAAGCATCCCAAAACCAACTAGAAATTACTTGTAGTTTTCTAGTGAGTATTACCTGTGTCAGTATTCTCCATTATAGGGTCATAAACTGCTCTGTTAGTATTCTGCACGTAGGCTTGAGGATCAAATCCATTTCATCCCAAAGTGCATGTCTGTACCAGCCCAGCAACAGAAGCAATTATCAAGCCAATTTCATCAATGCAAACAACTAATTTAAATAACTGATAGCATGTAGTGACTTTCTTTTTTGATGGAAGGTTGAAAGTGGAGGGAAACTCATTTAAGAAATGACAAATTAAGTGAATAAATAATTCTCTTTTGGGAAACTATTACTATTTAGTTCTCAGAAAAACTTTTAAATTTATTAATGATTAGAAGATCAAACCCTAAATAAAGAAATGTAATTTTAAATATAAAAAAGGCAGAACTCTTTTTCTATAAATAAAATTGTATAGACACAGAGAGATACAAAATACAGGTAAAAACATTTTCTTTTGTCCTTGTTTACACTGTATGCATAATACAAACATAACTTGAAAGATAGAGAAATATCCTATTAAAGGAAAAAAAGAGCAGTAGTTTCTAAATGCTTAGGAGGAGGAGAAAAATGCCTCAAAGCAGTAGATGTTTATAAGTCTGAAATACAAATACATAAAAGAATCTTTCTCTTATAACTAGCAACTTTAGTCCCAAGGAACAGACTGTTGTTCTTTTAAGAAATGGGTCTTCTTGAGTTATAAACTTTAACACCGTTTTGCATCGAAGATCGAGAATATTTAGTGAGTAATGCACCTATGGTTTGCTTCTCGCCACACAAGTCTCTGTGGGAACAATACAAAATTAAATAGCATGAATATTTTAGGGCACATAACAGTCACAGTACTAATTTTTATCTCTTTCCCCTAAATCCATCCTTCCAAGCTTAAGGGTGTATGTATATGGGAGAGAGAGAAAATAGGGAGCGGTTACTAAGCCTTAATTGAAGTAGGCACATTATATGTACTAACTCATTTAACCTTCACAATAATAGTAGGAGTGATGTATTACTTAATCCTATATTAGATATGAAAAAACTGAGGCTCACGTAGTAAAGGATAGAGCCAAATTTTGCAGCCATATCTGTGTGACTTCAAATTCCATGTTTTTCCCATTATATCACACAGCCTCCAAATTAGAAATACAAGCAATGTGATACAGAGGGGTCTAGACTCCACTAGAACCTGCATACTAGACTACCTGTGTGAGCTTGTCTAGGTTACCTACCCCTGAATGTTAGCTTCCTCTTCTATAAGCCAGAGGAGAAGACTGTGAGTGGAACATAATGAGAGGAGGGAAGAATAGAAGGACATAAGCTGGTGAAGAGGCAAGGGCAAGATCATGTAGGTGCTTGAAGAACATGGAAAGGAGTTGTGATTTAATTCTAAGTATAATGGGAAGCCACGAGGGGGGTTTCAATCTTGGAAAAGCATAATGTGATCTAAGTTTTAAATAACGGAGGCAATGAGTTGATGATTATGGAAGCTGGGTGGTGAGTAGATGGAGGGTTCATTATATTATGTTGTCACTTTTGAATGTTTAAAATTTTCCAAAATAAAAAGCTTAAAAATGGGGGTGAGGGGAAGGGGGCAAAAATAGAAGTAGAGAGACTAATTCAGAGGCAGGTACAAGAGCATCCATCAGGATTTGCTCATAGTTTGAACCAGGGGGTAAGAGAAGGAAAAGACAAGGATGATTCCTCGACTTTTTGCTTGAGTAACTGGATTAATGGTAGTGCTATTAACTGAGATGAGGAAAATGGGATTCGGACAGGAAGAATCAACAGTTCCGTTATGAGCATGTCAGGTTTGAAATTCCTATTAGATATCCAAGTGGAAATGTTAATTACGCAGCTAGATATTTAAGAATCTGAAGCTCAGGGAAAAGGTCAATATGAAGATAAAATTAGGCAGTCACTAAATTTAAATCCAGGCCTAATGAGGGGACCAAGGAAAAAAATATAAACAGAAGAGAAGATGGTCAAGAATAGGGTCCTAGGGGCCAGCCCCATGGCCAAGTGGTTAAGTTCATGCTCTCTGCTTTGGTGGCCCAGGGTTTCGCCAGTTTGGATCCTGGGTACAGACATGGCACCACTCGTGAAGCCATGCTGAGACGCTGTCCCACATAGCACAGCCAGAAGGACCTACAACTAGAATATACAACTATGTACTGGGGTGCTTTGGGGAGAAGAAGAAAGAAAGAAAAAAAAAAGATTGGCAACAGATGTTAGCTCAGGTGCCAATCTTTAAAAAAAAAAAGAAGAATAGAGTCTTAGAGCACTCAGACATTTAAAGACTGGGAAGAAGAAGGAGACATCAGCAAGAAAGACAGAAAAGGAGCTGCCTCAGGGAGAGGGGAGGAAACCGGTGTGTTTCAAGTAGGAAGTGGTCCACTGCGTCAAACAGTGCTAAGAGGCCAAGTAAGCAAGGACAGACTACTGACCACTGATTGTAGGAAGATGGATATCCTTAGATTAAGGAAATGTCATTGGGTTAGGAAAGAATGGGAGACAAAGAAGCAGAAAGTGAGTACATAAACTTTTAGAAGGAATTTTCTTGTGAAGGAGAGCAGAAGACATGGGGTCCAGTAAGTTGTTGTTTTTTAAGATGAGCAATACTACAGAATAGCATGTGTTCATGGGAATAATCCAGTAGACAGGTAGATGTTGATAATAGGGGGAAAGGGATAACTGGAGAAGACAACTCTTTAATAAGATTAGAGGGGATGGACGTAGCACAGAAGGAGGATTGGCCTTAGAAGCAGGGACAGTTTATGCATTATACAGGAGGGACTGCAAAGGAAGTGTGTGCAGACACAAGGAGGCTGGCAGATAAGGCACTGGGAAAGAAGTTATTCTTGTCTTTTCTTGTCTGCTTCTATTTTCTCAAAAAACAAGGTCACAAGCTGAGGGTGAAGAGGAAACAGGAGGTATTGATGGTATAAAAGGGAAAAAGAAGACGTAAAGTGAGATCCAAGGGTAGAAGAGATTGATGAGGAAACAATGCCTTGCAAGGGACCCTGCTAAGTTAAGTTCTTAAGTTCTTAAACTTAAGATGACTTACATTCTTAAGTGAGACTGGCAAGCCCCAATGTGTATTTTTCTCCAGAAAATTTCAGCTGCCCAGGTGTTGGCATAGAGTAAGCATAAAGTTGAATTTAATCTTTGTAGATTTTTGCCAGAGGGTATGACAAGAGGGAGAGAGGGCCAAGGGAGGAAAGCACACACAGCAGAAGTTATAGAGACTGACCAGGGAATCCAGTCTGGCTAAGAGAAGAGAGGACTTGAGAGGCGAGACCCAGTGAAGAGGCGGCAGTGTCTGTGGATTTGAGGTCCCGTAAATAGTAACTTCAGAGCTAATTTGTTCTTCTGCCACTTGGCATTTACCAAAATGTTAAAATAAGGCAGCAGGAAAGACAGAAAGTGGCAATCAGAGAGGGGTGCTTGCCTCGGAGTCATAGTGGGGTATATAGTCAGACTGTCCTTCTCAGAGCTGCAGGTTGCAGGGAGGGGAGCAGAGAAGTGGTTTTAGAAGCAATAGTAAGGAAGAAAGATAATGCACACCCCACCTCCAGGATCAGTAGCCATGGAGAATGATAGAGAAGACAACCACCACTTGAAAAAGTTTCAAAGGAAGCAGTATCCTCAGGGAATACTCCAAAAAAATGGTTTTGTAAGAATTAATAAATAAAAAGTAAATAAATAAATAATATATATAATATATAACAAGTAAATTAAAAAAGACACTTCATAAAAAGAATAACCCTCAAAATCCCTTTGGAATAAATTACTCACTGAATATATGGAGCAATATCTTCTTCTGTCCACTTCTCTCTTAGAGAGAATAGACTATTAAAACGCTCCTGATTGTCCTCAGGTAAATCATCTACTTTTAGCAAAAATATGATTTCTGGTCTTGAGTGTCTGTCCACCAAGGCTAAACCCTATAAGAGATGAGAAGAGAAAGGGCAGTTAAAGTCATGGTCTAATGTTTAAATA